AAAAATCAAATAATACCTCCAATTCTGCAGAGTTCTTTGCAGGAACTTTGGCCAAGTGCTCATCCAATTTATTTGAAGATTCATCTAGCTGTTTCTGATTTTCAAGCGATTTTCCTGTTCCAGCTTGTGAAGTAGCTAAGACAACAGATAACACAGCATCAGAACCATTGGCTGATGTACCACCTTTTGTTTTCAGATCAGATTTACCAAGAGAGACATTTTCTGCTTTTTCCAACCGCCCTTCAGATTTTGTTCTTGGAATCTGGTCCTTGACCAAATTCACATCTGACTGTTGGGTTCCAAAGGCAACTGCCCTGCCCCCAGCAGCCTCACTCTGAGAAACATTAATTGATGAACCATTTTGTACAGAAACTGTATTACCAGCCAAAGATTTTGAAGCAAGTGATGTAGCAGGCTTCAGCTCAAGATATCCCATTCCAAATTCCTCATCCGTAACCCATGAAGACTGAAGAGTAGGAAAAATCTCAAAATTTGTTCATGCATGGATAAGCAGGAAGAATAGACGTCATATTTTATAGTGAATTAGAATAAGTATGAAACAGAGAAGCACTGATACCACCCCTTCAGTATTTTATCCCTATCCGACTCCAACATGCCCCAAATGAATCTAGTAGAACCCACCAAGCAAAAATGTCAAATGTTAGTTTTTGTTCTTTCTGACAAGGGACCACTGTCTCCAATATGTTTTTGGCATTGAATCGAGTACCGACATAAAAAAGGGACACATTAGTTTCCCTTAGTTTATTTTCCTCCAAATTTCTCAATTACCAAATAAAGGCTGATAAAAAGATATGGACATTTGGCTACAAAAGCAAATAATAGTTTTGAACTTTTGTAGATAGCAAAATGCATGATTTACTTTCATGCAACAATTATGCTTAAACGGGTGCTCCACTTTAGCTATTAGCTCATTTTTAATCAAATATGATTTTGCTTTATACTAATTTTCTTTGCTTTCTAGCACTTTCTAAGAAATTAAAAAAAATAACAATTGACAAAAATCAACTAGCAGATTTGACAATCACAACCAACCTTATACTTTTTTTGCCTAACTGTTTATGCTTTATATATACATAAATACATGACATGTGACTTGAGTTTTTTTCATATCATCCTGCCCAGAACATCTCATACTTGTATCAGTACTTCCTCAGCAGAAAACTGATAAAACAATTTACCTTTCTAGCAGCCAAAGCTGCAGCAACACCGGTTGCCAACACCTTGAGATCCTCTCTTTCATCACTTTTGATTTTAGCCACCTGTATCCAAGAGTTTAAAACGGAAGAAGCATATAACAATAAATCCAATTAGAAACTGACCGTTCTCCACATTTCTTACCCGCTTTTCAAGGTTAATCCCACTCTTTCTGGTAACAGGAAAAACACTAGAAATTTTCGTCAACATTATTAAAGCATTACGAATCTCCATGTACTCAGTTGACTCCAAGCACTGGATCAACAACCTTGTTATTCTTTGACTCCATTTCCAATGTACCTTTTAAAAAAAAAACAATTTGAACCTAATCACAGAAATGAATTAACCTCAAAACTCAAGATAAGCATAGATGACACAAAACAGGAGCCTCATATACTACATTGTGAAAGACAGGCAATTACGAGTGGTTCATGTGCAAATGTCTGATGTTTGATAGAATACTCCATGACCAATAAACATTTCAAAGTATTCCTCTAATACCAAACAAGACAGGAGATAATAATCATAATATATTCACAGGTTGTATAATGAAGAAGCGTCACATGAATCATTAATATTCTCCAGTAAAATACCAAACAAATCCAAATCACATTAAATCCTTAGAAAATAATAATATAATAATGCTCAAGATACAAGAGAGTTCACATCTATTCATTAAAAGTTATAGTGCATATAGAATCCCCTCATGTACAACCTAGTCACCAAAAACACTCTGGCCCAACCTGGTGAAGCCACCAATCCAACAGGTCATCAGTTCAACAAGGTGAAGTGTCAAAGTCAAACCACATAAATAAGCAAATGCCCATGAAGAAAGTTTAAATCAATTTCAAGCTTAACATATATTTACCATAACAAGATAATTACATATTCATCACACAGGTTGCATACCGCGACATGAGACACCTATCTAATAACCATCTTCTCAACATAAACCTGTCTGACACACGAAGATCAATTATAACTACGATTTCGCACATCTGTTGTCTTCTACAAGATTTGTAGGCCTCACCCTTACTATCTACAACAAGCATCTTAAGGAATCTAAATACATAATAACTAACCTTAATGAACTGTCCATATGTAACACGCTGGCTGTTTGGATATCTATAATACACAGCAAAGCCTGGCATATTCCCACATTCACGCTCATAAATGGATTCATCTGCCTGCAAAGGAAGCAGTGGTCAAAATATAACTATTCAAATAAAACTAAATGTTTCAGTTTCATAAAATTCCTCACAAACTTCAAAATACATATCAAACAGTAAAATAAATCAAATTTTGGGTAAAGCAAGAAAGAACTTAACAAGGAATATTGTACCTTCCAGTAGTATGCAATCTTTAGCGTTTCATATAGAAACCTACCAAGTCTTCCTGCTTCATACTCAGTGCAGCAGCATATCATGGGTTGTAAGGTTTTGCATATCAGAACGTCAATGTGATTTACAGTATTGAAAAAAGGTGTGCCAAGAGAATGAAGAGTGTGCACAAACATGGCACAATAGACAGCGTCGGGCATACTGAAGGTACAGCGAGGAAAAATACAACGCTGGAGGAACTCCATGTTAATCTTCAGCGTATCAGGGCAGGAGCTCAACCACTTGTCCTTTTCATGAGTAAGCCGTCTACGAACAGATGCAACATTTTCTTCATGCTTATGAAGTTCACTAGTTAGACGATCTAAAGCTTCTTGAATTCTTTCCTTGTCTTTTTTCCTTTTGTTAATTGCTGAACTAGAATTATCAGGAAGCTCTTCCAGAGCCTTCAGAGCAGCATGCTGCTTTGCGATTTCAGACTCATAACGGTTTCTAGGAACATAAAGATCATACAGAGTAAGCCCCCAGAAAGTAGCATAGAGGTCGGGAGAGAGACTATTCCAGGCTTTAGAAGGCAACATGGTTTTAACAGTGCCAAGAAGATCAGACCACCTGCATAATAATGATTATTGAAAGCAATCAGATAGAAGAAAAGCACTTTAGGAACTGCCTGTAGAACTGTTTAAATTTTGAATATTTAATAAAAGTACAATATGTGCAATGTACAGAGGAAGAAAAATAATATTATTACACTATAGGCTTCCGAGGTGGACCCAAATCTAATATCACTCGGCTCAAATCATCTTTACTTTCAGACTCTGAGTATGCCATAGTAATATTTCCAGTTTCATTGTCATCTAAAGGCCAGAAAACATCAGAACTCCCCTGACACTTGAAGAGCCTCATCACTGGCCGATATATCAAAAAAGCAACCTGTGTCAAGAAGAAAAATAACCTCACATAATATTTCCTTGTTCTTTACAACTAACCATGTCACAGGTTCCCAGACCTCTAAAGTGGTGCAGCGAGAGTAAAAAAGAACACACATGGATTGAGAGAGATCTAAATATACCTCAGGATCAAGGTGGTACAGGTGGACAAGGTCATCAAGCGAGGGAATCAGTTGAGCATAAGCAGCAGCTGGTGTTACTGCACTACAGAGGAATTCTACATACTGAAGAAGAGTCCCATGGCATCTGTCAAACTGCTCACTAACCATCTTAATGTAAGGAGCATCTGCATTTATGACAACCCTGCAGAAGATAACAGATATCAGGTTAATTAACTGAGAGTCACCCACTTCATACCTCTGTCATTGCATTCTATTCAGGTAGGATAGGCATCTAACTTCCTAATTAGTGATTATGAAACTCATTTAAAAAAGCTTTACGAACATCATAGAAATGGACAACTAATAAGAACAGAAAGGAATAATGTTTTTTTGAAAGGCACTAAAGTTGATTTCATTGACTCATAAAGTGTACAAAAATTACCACATTTTGGTAAAATTACAGCCCATTCATGTAGGACATGTCCCCAGCATGAAAGTGTTGCATATTGACATCAAAATGTGACAAAGATGCAACACTATCAGCTTTAACATTATCCTTTACTCAATACATCATTGAGAACAACAATGTACCATAGATGCACATTAAGGAAAACAAAATTTGTATAAAAGAACATGCTAGCATTAAAGATTTCTAGTGAGACATGATACCTTGGGATGAGCCTTTTTTGTCCTATAAATTCTCGTTAATAAAGAACCAATCTACCTCTCTCCCTTTCTCTTATTCCCAGTCTCTAGATCTCACAAGGCATCTTGACCCCTATAGATAGTTGATTTGGCTACGAACTTATTATTTCTCTAAGAGTCATTTTACAGCATAATGCTATACAAAGAATGATGATAATAATTAGAATGAGTGAAGCACTATTTCACGCTAAACAACTAGAACAAGTAAAGCACTACTTCATGCAGAACAACCATAACAAATGAAACACTACTTCATGCAAAACAACTAAAACAAGTGAAACACTATTTCATGCGAAACAACTAGAACCAGTGGAACACTACTTCACGCAGAACAATTAGGATAAGTGGAACAACCACTTAACATGAATAGCAATAAAAGCAACCCGAAATAAGTGGTAAGGTTCATGGGTTACTTTCATCTTAGGATGTTTGGAAGAGTTTGACTTGGCAGCTCAAAGATGGAGGTAGTTAAAAGGTCTTCTTCTTAACCTTTTCCTTAAGTACAAATGTTTCTCCCTATTACCTTGTCCTCTTGTACCTTTTCACGTGCACTTTCTTCTCTTGACCTGTTCACATACACTTTATTCTCTTAACTTGTTCTCATATAGCTTTTCATGTATACCTCTTCCCTTTGCCTTCTACTCAAGAATAAATCTAATTATATTATTGATGGTCATAAAACCCATTACTTCAATAGTCATATAATGGGTTTTTAACCGTTACTCAGCATTAAAGCTCAATAACGATTACCCAACATTAAAGCTCTTCTTAATAACGTTATTCATTACGTGCGCTAAAGCCTATTCTTGAGTACCTGTCACTTCTGGCACTATATATAGAGTCTTCACAATTCATTCAAGGGACTTTTTCCGGAGCTATAACATTCTCACTCAGAGCTTCTCTTTCTAACTTCTCTCTCTAATTCTCTACTTAATTCTCTTTTTATTCTCTTCCGCCTACCACAACACTCGGTACTTCAAGAACTGTTCCAATCTTCCTCTCCACCACCTCTGGTACAGCCTTTTATTTGTTTGCAACACTTCCTCTCCCTATGACAATAACCCCCTTTACAACCTCTTTTTTGTTCTTTTCCTTGCTTCTCTTTTCTGTTCTCATCATTTTCTCTTTCTTTTCTAGCTACCTGCCTCCCTATTTCTCTGTTGCCAATGCTGGCAACAGAAAGGGAAGTCTCTTTCCTTGCTATTACCAACAATGGGCACAGAGAAACAAGAGATAGGTGGTCAGAAAAGAGACAGTGGATATTAGTGAAATAATATGTGCACAGTTCTATATCCAAATTGCATTACCAAAAAAGTTGTAAAAATTATATACATGTATGGAGACACAAGAAGCACTACTTCAGCAACCACCACACCCAAGAGTATCAAAAAAGGACAAGTAGGTGATCACACAACCTTATAATCAGCCATATTTGTGCAATAAACATTCAAATTTCTTGAAACTAAAAAGTCCTTCCAGTTGTACAACTTACACAGAACGATGTTGGGCTAAAAGTAACAAAAGTGGAATTGCCAACTTTGGTTCATCCTTTGGAAGCAATGAATCTCTCAGCCTATTGGTGGATTTAATCAATGCCTGCATAAATGGCATTTAATCATTAGAAAACAGTGTGCGAAGCCAGAATACCTTTTCATAGACATAAAAAACGATGCAGCAGTAAAACATTTTCAAATGTTGACAGCATGAAAGATAGATGTTTTGAATTTAGGCACTTAAATCTATCAAATAAAATGGAAACTCAACTAAAAAATTATCACATTAATCCATAAGCTGAAGAATCAAATATCAAACAAAAATTCAAAAGAAAATAATTTTAAATTTAAGGATTCTTGATTGGGATCTTAACATGCATAAAAAAAAGGCAGATATTACATATAAGACTGCAGTCTTAGCACATCAAAAGTTATTATTAAAACCGCTTTTTTTAATAGGATTTTCAACTCAATTGTCAGCTCTTGTCCGCCTTTTGTAGAACAGTCTAAGTCTTGAACACATAGTAATCAGTTTTTCCGAGACAAATGTGTTGTGTGTGTGTGTGTGTCTATGTCTGTGGACACACATGCATAAAAATCTATGTGAGTCTGTGTGATCAGTATCACACTTAATGCGGTCCTAGAAATTGCTTGTCTCATTTGATGTTCATTCAATGTGAGATGTATACCCAAGATGATAGGTATCATGAATAAGAATCCTACCCCTTTATTGCCTTTTTTCTCTCTCTTTGTACTTTAACTATCTTTACGTCCTGAAATCAGATCTTCTTGTCCTACAACATATCTGATTTTTACCCAAAAGTACAAAGGCTGTTTACCAAATGATGCTACTAAAAGTAGGTGGCTGGATTCAGCCGACACTTAAAAATTTTAAACAGACAACACAAGGATATTGCCGAGTCTAAGAAAACTATGACAAACACTAAAACTTAAGCATGATGATCAGGACACTTACAAGAATATATTATATAAACCATAAAGCTCAGTAAAATCTTGGGTTCAGATCAAAAGCTAAAAAGTCTAAAAGAAAAAAGTTTCTAACATATAATACACTTAATCAAAAGCATTAGCTGAAAATCTGATTTGAAATTCAAGAAAGTGATAATAATACCAGCAGTGATGTCTGATTCTATCTAAATAGTATAAAATTCAGGTGCTTCACTGATAGAGAAAAAGATAAAATATAGACTACCCTATTTTTTGCATAACAAACTAGCGTAATATCAATGTTTTCATGATAACCTTATTATTTCGAGTTACGCCAAATGAAGTGGCCTGATATCGAAGAGTCTCACTTCCAGCCATGGCATCCAACTGCTCCTCAGTCAGATTCTCTGTGAATTGTACATTTGCCATTTGATGAATAAGCTCCTGACTCAATCATAAAATGTCCAGTCAGTAAATTTAATCTTCAGACCTAATCATGAAAATACTTTAAGCTTTAGATCTTCATTTACCTGCAGGAGAACAAGTTCAATTCCTTGGCCCTTTTTTAACTGATTAACCAGATACTGGAAAAGACCCCTCAGTTCCATTGATGGGTATTTCTTACACCTACAAATAGAACTGATCTTAGTAAAATCGCAACAAAGTAATCCTGAAAAATACTTCTTAAAATTGAAAAGCATATACGTCATAGTCGATGTTCAATGAAAAAATAAAACAGTAAAAAGGATTAGCATGAAAAAACATGTAGACAAAGAAGGATTCCATGACTTTTTTCCAACATCTCATGAACTATAAAGAGAAAACCCCACCATTCAACGAACAAATACCTTTATGTATGAATCACTAATGGTACAGATAAGTTCAAAATGTAGAAGAAGAATAAACACATAAAAGTTGAATGTTGCAGCTCTACTATCCTTTGGGAGCCTAAATACCTATAAAACTTGGAAACCACTTTCTTTTTTTCTTTTTTCAAGACAACCGGATGAAAGCAAGCTTTTTATAGTTGAGCAGTTATCAAGATATACGTGATTCATAAGAAACAAATTAAGATTGATTTATTATGACTATAAAAATGAAGGAAATCTAGGTGCCCAACAATCTTTCCATCACGTTATCTTCTCTCTCAAAATTGGGAATTTTAATTCTAGTTCATTCTCATCATCTTCAGGGTTCCAAGCTCAGGAAGATGGCCCTTTGTGCATACTGACAGGCAAAGGGACAAATTAGAAATCAACCTGGTATAAAAAAAATTATAAGAGCAAAGAAAGGTATCACTTGAGTTCAAAGAAATCTACAAACAATTCTCCATGTGCTATTCCATTTCCAAAATATATGAGCTTGTTTGTGTGTGTGTATAAAACTATTAGTAATAAATTAAACAAAAGGTCTTCTAGAAAATAGCTTATAAATTTAACAGAAGCCAATGGTGCTTGATCAACCAAAAATCTGTACTTTTTCAGGAATCTGTTCTGTAAAAGATATATTCTAATGTTAATATGCTACAGTTTACAACTTAACAATGATTATCCTCATACATTTGCTTCAGCCACATTCAGAATTGACACAAGTGGAAAACCTAAAATTTCAAAACATAAAAAAAAAAAAGAAAAAAAAGAAGGAACAACTGCATTAACAACCCTGCTAGACTTGAAAAATATTACATGTAAAGTTGTATGCAAATTTGAGTTCTAACTCATCACCTTAAATTTTAACAGACAGACAGAGTAGGTGAGACACCAACTTAGCTAGCAGCTTTAAATGTTAGTCTAGCTAATAATCAGAATCCAACTCCCAGAAGACCTATTCTTCAAACTTTGAGAATGATAGAAGCCATATAATGTGCTGATAGTCAGTCACCAGCTCCTCATAATTTTCTTTCTATTCAAGTCTCAAATTCTAGCAGAAATTTAATCCTACCACCTCCTTAATAACAATTAAAAGAAAGAAAAACATAAGAACTAAATAACTCTTAGATCACATGTTCATGAATGAAACCATAGCACCCAGCCAGACCACCTTAAGAGCAGAATTTCATAACAATTAGGCAATTTAGAAAAATGGCTCATCATTAAATTATAAGCTACCATCAATACATCTATTAAAGTATAATAAGAGTCCCCCACCCTTGAAAGAGAGAGAGAGAGGGTGGGGGGAGTTGGCAGAAATAAGTGCAAGACAGAAGTTGACAGGACCAAAATACTTATGCACAAAGCAAACCTCAACATACAGGTCAAGAGAGCAAAGTATAGAAAGGGAAAGTTTCAGGGCCCCATTAAGAACTAGCCTAATTATTGTAACTGACCAGCCCTGACAACATTGAGAGCTCAGATGGACGGACCTCAACAATTAAATTGCGCCCCGCAAAATTCTGATTGTTGCCTCCACAGAACTCGAATTTTACTTCAAAAAGTTGCAAAAGTCCTCCATCTCACATGTTATGTGAAGAACTTCATTAAATTTCCATTTATGAATGGCAGGAGAATACCAGCTTTGCATGGACAACTATGAAGACCCAAAAATCATGAACTACCGATGAACCATCACCGAGAAAACAGTTAATGCAGCTAGAACCAAAAGTTCTGCCTGCTCCAATGGTCAACTACATTTTTGCCTAGCACATCAGCATCTCTCCTGAAAGAGAAACCATCTTTTGCAGCCTCATTAGTGATGCAACTTCCAATAAGCATCAAATTCAACCCAGTATACATTCCCTGGAAGGCTCCAGCAGAGACTGACGGGATGCATGCAATCAATATCTAGAAAGAACACCGCAAAGGAGAGAGGTACTAGAACCAATAACCCAAAGAAACAACCAATTTCTATGTTTAGCCCCAACCTAAATCTAGGCTCTTCATAACACTGGAATGTTAATACAGACTCCCATATCTAATCATCTAGATGCCAGCAGAGCAGACAGCTATTTGCACTTTGTCAACGGTAGATTTTTAGACCAGCATCTCTGTCAAAACTTGAAGGCTTATATACATAAACAAACTAACTCATCTTTATCCATACTCTTTCAATTTAATCAGTAGAAACAAGTTCCAAATTGCTAATCAACATGGTTTTTTTGTGTTCTAACCACCACCATTAGCTTAACAGCTTTGTGCACATCACCAAACTTCATATGGAATAGAATATGAACCACTATACTAGTATGTTTCCAACTTTTGTTCAGAGCCAAAATCATTCCTTTAACCAAATTCATTATCCTGTATCACATTTGAATTCTGCCTCTCTCATTTCTTGCACTTCAATTGAATGGCTGGAATTGAAGATCCTTATCAAAAACCTCAAAGTTTGACTAAATCATGTTTTCCACAATTAACAGACTTCCATCAAACCTCAATTACAGAATCCTATGTGGCCCTGTAAGTTGTGCCTACCTAACGAGCAAGCCACCATGAAGAAATTTATCAGACATCACAAACGAGGGAGTCAGAAAATCAGTAATGTCCACCAACCCCCCGCTCCAGTCATCTTGCTTTGCCCCAGCTTAATCTGCAACCCGGAAACTGAAGTAAAGCATCTCAAGATATATCTACATTCTATACAGATTTGTAACCACGTACTTCAGTTATTCTAACAAATTCAGCAACAAAAATACCATAAAAATACATGCATACACATGCAAACATGGGGAGAGTGGGCACAGAATGCACCATGAAGGAGAAGACAAAAATAAATAACTAGATATCCACATGAAAAAAAAAAGGCAATATAACTAATAACCCACAAGAATACTATGGCAGCATAAAGGGCACAAACCACATGAAAACAGACTCAAGTTCCAATTTATTTGGATAAGAAACCTCTAAAGCAAACCAAGATATTAATAATATCTTCATGAAAAGACAACTGCATAAGAAACTATAGATTTTTGCAAAGAGATAACTGTACATACAGGTGGCCCCAAAATGATGCCAAAGATTGAAGCCAATCTGACAAATTAAGGCCATCATCCTTCAGTTTATCACGCCCTCCTTGTGCCAGTCGCTCAATCACAACATATTCCAAAATGTCATACTCAAGCTGTATAGTAAACAAAGAATAATAATCAAAATCAAGATGCAAATGAATAGTGCACAACAAAGAATATCCCAATTGAAGTTCAGATTCAGTCTAATTTGGATTTGTGTCATCATTATGGATCAATATAGAATTTGAAATTTAAAATTTCAACAAAATTAAGTTTTATTTCGATTGCTAAGTTCTTGATATCAATTTAATTTCACATTGTAATTTTATTATAATAAATTTTGCTACAACGGACATGATAATACAATTAAAGCAGGTTATGCTAACTCCTAATCTTTAAATATTTGTTTTTCTACATTAATTCAATCAAAAGAAATTGGTGGTTAATGAATTAAATCAGAATAAAGGAGGGAAACAGTGGCCAGGGACAGTTTCCTCCTTTCTATTCCTCTTTTTCTTGTTATTTTCTTATTATTTCCTCTCCTCTCAGCATTTTCAGTCTATTCTCTCTCCATCCTTTTCTCCTATTTAACCTCTTTTCAGGTACCCTCTTCTTCCAATGCTAGTTTGCTGCACCAAAGCAGCACCATAATATCTTCATTCTGCTCTCTTTGTTGCTAGCTTATCCCTCCCTGTCAACTCAAGAAGACAAACACACTCAATGGGCTATTTTCCCTCTCCAGAACAGCCAAATCTCTTCAAAGAGAGAGAAAGGTTTACATAAATTGCTAGAGACATAGAGTCAAATTATCAACCATTGACATTAAAAGAGTGCAGGGTAGAAAGGAGAGAGATGAGATGGAAGAGTTGAAATAACCTATCCGCAAAAAGAGATCAAGACACAGGATTTTGCATCAAGATGGATACGCTAAACTCCAACGTAATAGGAATTTGAAATCTTAAAATTTGAACTTTAAAATCCTAGGCAGATATTGTTCAAATTCAAATTTAAATCTTGGTGCTTTAGAGGCCAATCAAACAAAGAATGTTGCTTTTAAATCCAAATCAAAACACTTGGCAGCAAATTATGTTGCCAAACAAAAAGCTAAGAAATGCTATTTGAGGAACTTCTCAACACGGAACATAATATGCAAATTGATAGTCAGTTTGAAACATTAGTTGGAAAGTCACCAAAGATGATAATTCAATAATAGTCAATACACAACATATGACACCTAAATGATGAGAAAAACTGAAGTGAATTTAAGACTTTACTTAAATGTCAATTCAGATGATTTTTATTCCATTAGACAGGGAGTCAACTTTATGCACAAAATCCAGATCCACAGCAGTCCCTTTATAACGTTAAAAGAACTGGTAATCATTTAAAGCTTCAAAGCTCAAAATCTTCAAATTCACTCCCACCAGAGAATTTTTCTCATTAAAATAAAGATTTCAACTAAAGCTGTCTGTTGCCTTATAAAATAAAAATTTTACAAAAATAAAATGATCCTGATCAAATGCTAGTATTTTTGAGTTCCTAAAATCAAACACAACTAGTAATATAAGTGCTTAAACAGTCTGAATGATGTAATAAGTGCAAAGACTTTAGGACAATTTTCCCCAATGTAAAGCTTATTGCATAGTTGATGTAACTAAAAAAAACATGTCGGAACGAAAACTAGCAACAGGGTTAAGTACAAGCCTATTTCCCTGTTTATCAGATGTATATGAACTCCAGAAGATCAATTCTGCTATTGAAGATCTGGCGATGAAGAATGGTGTAATAACTGGCTTGCAACTTTGAAAAGCTCTAAATAAAAAATCAAGTGGATGTTTTCCACTAGCAGCCATTCCTTCTAGAAAGGAACTTAACCTCAGTAGATAATCATGGTCAATATTCTTTTCATCAAACCACTCAACTCACTCATTTAACTCAACTATCCATTCCAACATCAACCGGACTGTTAGATTTACAAGAGAACACCGTAAAACTTAATTAAAAGACAAAGGCAGATGAAATTAAAATGATAAGCACTTATGATTCCAGGACGTAAAAGTAATAACATTGAGATAAGCACATTCTGGGTAACAACTCAAAATTCACCATCACTTAAATTACCTACTCAGCAATAAACATAAAAAGAAAAAGAGAAAAGAAATTACTATGCATTTTGACAAGTTGAAACAAGTAAGCATGACCAGGAAGAGGGGACACGATGGAAATCAATAATTTTAACGACCACCAACAAGAAAGGACAAAGGAAAACGGAAAACAGAATGGAAGAAAATCATATGGAAATGGCAAAATAGATGCAGACCTGTGTCAAATACTTGAATGCATCAACCACAGGAGCAATCATATCCCTGTATGCCTCAATCTGAAAAAGGTCCAAAGTGTATTGAACCAATGTAAACAACACTCGATGATGCATAAAACTCAAAAGCATAATCACTAATAAAAGTAAAATACCTGGTGAACAATTGTTCGCAGTACAGTCATTGGATTAGCATGAGCAAGTTTTGCAACCATCCGGCCTAACTGCTTCAAATTTTCCTTAGCCAGCCGTTTCAAAATCCTCCTAGTGTCAAGCTGCAAAAAAGCAAAGGCGCAAATGGAACTCTTCAGGCACCCAACTTTGACAAGCAATGAGAACACTATCAATAAGATATACTGCTGTACCTTGGCTGTTTGTCTTGCAGCTAATATAGTAGGATTCCGTTCATCATCCTTTTCCCACTCCCCATATAACCGGTATCGCACCTAAGCAGATGAGATTCATTTAGCAAGGTTGTCTATCATGTCTAATAAATTCTCAAAGGGAAGTATCAAATAACACTGATGAAAGGCCGACCTCATAGGAAAGGAGATTCATTACTTCCCAGATCTCTTGCCCAACTGCTGGATTTGCAGGTACCAATTGCAAAGAAGGAAGTAGACATGCTCCTAAAGTTTCCTCTACCCTTGACCTAGCTTCCTTCAAGTGAAGACGAGGATTTTGATATCCAACAGCAGCCGTTTCAGCATTTGAGACTCCATCAGCACTAGTTACAAGCTCAAGGGCAGATAAGTAATAACCTCTCAAAACTCTGCATACCTGCCAATAAAGAAAGCCAACATAACAAATCAGTAATGCACTTCTAGGAGGAGAAAACAAAATTAAAGAGAGTTAATTATTAGTACATAATAACACTAAAAGCATACCTTCTGCAACAGCAAAGTATCACGGTAGAGATGAGGTCCAACAGTAGCCAACATCTGAAAGAGTTCCTTAGGAAGATCAATAAAGGAGCTACTGGCTGATGTACTTGTATCCATGTTATCAACACCAGGTCCTGAGGGAGATCCAAAGTTTTGGAGATGTGTCTGGCGAACAATATCATATGCTAAAGAGATTGACTTTTCAATGAGCCTGGATGTATATAGAGAGTATAGTAAAGAACAAAAGTACAAATAAATATGAAACAAAGAATTAAGCTTCAGAAATGCCTAAACCATTAGACTGAGTCCAGAAAGTCAGAAACACAAATTAAAAATATCTTTGACTTAAACCACATAAACACAATTATGTGTCAGATGGACTAGTCAACTAAACTCGGAAGTCTCAATTCATGTAACCCAATCCCCTCCAGGATAAAAAAAATGGGATCCATAGTGTTTACCTAAACAATCCTTTACAGATTTGAACATGTGCCACTGGATTAAGTGGTGAAAGGCGATCAAACAGAATATGGGCATGGTACCTGAGAAGCATTACATCTTAAGTTAAAATTTGAATATCAATAATAGAAGTCGCAAAATTCACAAAAGGAGGACAAGCTGATACAGCATCAATTATCTCCTCTTTGAAGCATAGTTAAATGCTCAAAAACTAAATGGATATCACTCTACAGTAGGTTTGGCAGGTACAATAACAGTACTGTCCACACACAAATCATGATTCCTCTCAAGTCAACTTTTTTGTGCTTTTAGAAATTGAAGCTGCAATAGGATGACCAGGTGATGTGGGCAACCTAACTTTATGATTGAGAAGAATAAACAGAATGACCTACATGCACAAGTCAGCCTTAAAATAGGATGACCTACACTCACATCTGGTAATAGAAAAAGTACAATCTCGATTTACCAGGACAATTTCAAATCAAGTTTCAACCAAGGGCAGGAATACTCAGAACAAATTTGGAAAAAAAAGTATACAAGGAAAAAGAGTTGAAATGTCAACTGTATAAACTCAAACATAAATTAACTTTACGAAATAAAATGACCCACGAAAAACAGATACTAGGACGCTCGACTTAAATGTTGCAACACCAAGGAAATAATGAAGAATCAAGATTGGCAAAAAAATTTCAATTAAAAGATATAGGGATAGAGAGAAAAAGTGGAAAGAAACGGATAGAGATTCCAAAGCATAACATAGCCACCTCAAAGAGTGGCCAACTACAACAAAGCTTACCAATCATCTACAGAAAGAAAGCCAGTAAGCAAGCCTAAAGTCTGATTATTTTCAAGCTCTGGAGATCTTTCAGCGACAGCCTCAGTTTCCATATCTAGAGCAGCAAAAAGGTCTATTGTTACATCTCCTTGTTTCTCATCCTCCATGAGATCCTTACCGGTAGCAGCAAGATTTATTTTTCCAATTTTGTTAGCCTGCAGGAATAGGTGCAATCATACTGTGAATCGCAGGAGAAAACATGTCAACAAATATCTGGTAGGAAACTTGTACAGCTTTAACCAGAGATTATTGGTGTTCATCAATCTCTCTGAAGAGGGGCAGGGAAAGGAGAGTTATCAATGCCTAAATCAAGTACAATGAAAATTATTTAAATGGCTCAGACACAAAAATGCCTTAAGAAAGAAATGGAAGCACAACAATCTTTTATTGAGGCAAAAATTTAGCATAAAACTAAAAACAAAAAACAGAGAATATGACATTAATCATGATTTAAGTACAAAGAGGAAAAAATAAGACAATGCAATAAGAATACCTCATCAAGTCGTTTTGTGGAGAAACCATTATACTGCTCAAATGCTTCATCATCCTTGGGAAGTAAATGAGTGTAGCTGCACATATGCATAAATCAGATCAGCTAGAAATTACAGATATAGACTGCTGATTAAAATTTCAATATAAGCCATCAATACAAAAAACAAAAATTGTTTACATGCAACTTTATAGCTGAATAAAAATCCATGAAACAAGTCATATCACATGAGATCAGTTCCCTTGTTGACCCAATAGGTATTTGCATGCAAGCATTTTAAATATCAATTTGCCACTTCAAGGCATGAATCACCAAATGTCAAATGGTAACTATATCAAATTATACATCAAAAGTGTTTGGATCCCATAGCAAGAACATGTTCCATTACCATATGCAGCTTTGATTCAGCTACAAACATTTAATACAATTACAAGCAACAGCATAAAAAGTAAAAATGCACAATACAGGATTTGTTCAAACAAAATAGAACGAACAGAATCACCATATTAGAGGAGAAAGGATCTCAACTAACACCATATTAGAGGAGAGAGAATCTCAACTAACTCACATGCTATCAAGATCAATGAACTCTTCCTTCACTAGCAAAGCTGTAAGCTTATAGAGCCCAAATGGGGTAGGAGTATTTACTTCCATGCGCTGATAGTATTGAAACTTAAAACCAAGAATTTGTGAAGCATGAGACTGCAAGAAATCATAAAAAAGTAAGCAACTCAGATTTCTCAGATTCAGGATAACATAGAATTATCATTCTCAACCAGAAAATATTGATATCCATACCTTTGGGAAGATGGGAATCAATTGCAAAAAACCATTATTATCTGGCTGAAGTTCGTAACACTCCAACACCTAATAAATCCCAATCTATCACATTCTTCACCAATTCATCAAAAAGTGGAATCAGATCTTTGATGAAGAGTAAAAAATACTTACAATGTCAAAAACACGGTTCGGGTCCAGATCAAAATGCCCAATTAATGACTGCAGAAGTTACAATAATTACACTATATACACCACAACTAAGATTAAAGAAAAACTAGACAGAAACAAGGACAAACCTTGATAATGCCTATTCTTGCTGTTGATGCATTTTGAGTTGAATCTTCAGAACCTCGAAAAAGGAGAGTAATCTACAGATGCACAACACAGTGATTCACAGGACAAAAATTCAAAAGTAATGACATGATCCAGTACTCTAATTCAAACTAGACATCCAACTGTCCTAATCCTAGCCTAATAAAATTCTTCTGACAACTACTGATGCGATCCTAAATCTCCTATCTATTTAACAACAATACCAGTTTCTCTACTGGTATTACTACTGACTAATCTGATTTCTGGAGCCACCTTAATGGTTTCCCATCCAAATCAAGGTTTCTGTTTGAATGCCCAACAATAAGCCACCATGGTCTGTATGATACGTTGACCCAACCAAAACATGCTTTCGCAAATCCATCAATGTGCTAGAAAAAATAATGAAAATTGCTAAAGGAGCAACAGGACCATCAATAAACAGGTCAAAGAATAAAACATGCCAGACCACAAATTTCTACTAGGCAGCAACACATCCATAAATAAATCACTGAAGAAAAGTTTCATCCCACATCTTCAAGAAAATATAACCTAAAGGTGAATACATCAGCAAATGAGCAATGATTGTGCTCAAACGTTTTCCAAGAAATTTTATCAAATAGCACTCATACCAGCTTAGCATAGCCCTCACTCTCTTCTCGAAGGAGGTTAAATTTTGTTTGCTGATAAAGCAGACGCGTATTTACTCTGACCTGGAATCAACACAAAATACATCAAATGACAAAAGTCAGTAGTCTACCCCAACCTCAAGACTTTGTCACATATACTGGTGCAAGCATCTGATTTCATCAGTTTAGCATGCCAACATACATGACACCTACAGTTTCTCAATGGAGCAGAATTGATCATCCTCATAACTAAACAAACTCTGTATTTCCAAATATAATTCATTGTGTCAACAGATGGAAATTTCAGGCATAAAAAAAAAACTAACCACGCATATACAGATATTGAGTATGTCAATAACATTAAATTTGCTTACCTCTTTAACCTTCAAATCTGGAGCCTTTATCTTGATCATCTCAGCCTCCCACAGGAACTCTTCCTAGAATGTCAGAGTTATAATAAGGTATTTTTCCATTACCACAAAGTAGCATGTACGTAAAGATCTACCTTGTTCAAAAAGAAAAAAGAAACCACCACCCAAGAGGTCTAAAAACAAGACAAACTGAACATGACCAAATGACCACCAGCACAACAAGGTTACAAAATGTTTTACCTCACCGCGCTCATGGAAAAGCCTTAATGGAACTAACGAAGACTCCACCAGCCACTTTGCCTAAAAGAAAGACCATAAACTCAGCAAATAAGCTATAAGAAATTCCCCTTATCTTCAAAGAATAAAGAAAAAATCATAAAGATCGTATAAACATGGGCAACATGTGAAGCATGCAGATCATGAATGGAACAATATTTGATTGTGCAGCAACAAAATACTGTTAGTATTGATTAAAATACCATAAAAATTAATGACAAACTGAACCCTTGATTAATATGAGATTCATTCAATACCTCTAATAAATCCTAATAGTCTCAGAGGATTTCTTCCTAGATTAGCACCAATATGTCCCCTTTATAGATAGAAAACCAATAGAAGAACAGCATCCCATTTGCTCTAGCTACAACAATGACCAAGACAATATCCATATCACAACTACATTGTGCGATATCCTCTTTAGATTAAGCAGATAAACCATTAACGGATTAAGGGTAGAAAAAAGATACGCCATTTACGAAAAATTATAAAGATAAAAAAAGCTTTTAACAAAAGATTCAGGGTAGCCCATGTGTTTATTCCATAACTCCATTTGGAACAATAAAAAATTATAATCAGTACCTATCCATTCTCAGAAGGTTTGATGATGTCTACGCCTACATCACTTAAAACTCAATTAATGATAAAGCTAAACATAAGGAAATTTTGGTTTAAATTGTATTGACAGCTTTTAATTTCCACCTCCCATGTCCCAAGTTATTTGAAGGTTCATATAGTTCTTTTTAGTATTCAAACATGTAATTCTTGCACAAAAACATGGCAACAACTCACCCACTTTGTTCCCTTCCACATCAATCAATCAACTATAGAGTCATATTAATTTCTAGGTCAAATCTGCAAATTTTACCAACTAAAGCTCCACATGGAGTTTCACTCTCCAATATCGAAATCAAGGTTCAACTAAGCTTCATTTTCTCTATCCTACTTCCATGGAAATATCATCAAAGTCAGATTACAGTGGAAGTCAAAACCCTTATTGACTAATTCTGCACTAATTAAGTAAAAGAACAAAGAAGAACTTCATATGGAAAATAAAATTGTTGTCATCAGAAGCTTCAAGCTTCTTTGCATCCTTATCAGGAGGAATACTTAATAACTACATTAGAATGCAGAGCTAGAGTTAATAGATAAATCATGTGAAACAAGTTCTGATCCTTTCCACAATGTGGAGAAATTCATTTTTAAACTTTTAAGTGTCTGAACCTGAATAAGTTTCATATATCACTACAATAACTGTAGAAGAAATAACTTATTACATGCTTATATCAATTAAGGACTTTCAAGAACTTATAGCATTAAGCATTCAGTCCAGAGTAAAGAATTATTTGTCTAAATTTTCAATGTCATCAAAAACACCTTTACCATAAAAGATTTCCAGTCAGAGCTCTTTTCTAACTATATTCAAGAAACATAAATTTTAATATGATCAACAAACATAATATTAATGACGTGAAAAAGGAAATAGAGATAGAAACAGAAGAATTAATGCAAAAAAAAAAAAAAGCAAATTGCACTCAAGTACATATATGCACCTAATCAATTAATATCAACAATAAAAGACTTCACAGATTATATACTGACCAATTTTATCAAACGAGTGCGGTATTCTCCAGACAATGTAAGCTGCAAATTAGGCAAAAACTCATAAGCTACAATTTAATGTGTCAAATATTCAATTCCAGCTACAAAAATTGGGTGTTCATAAAAAAGTCCATATAATGCAGATAATAAAAGAACCACTAAAAACAAAATCGCAGCTGGAAAATGTGGAGATGTGAGCCACAAACCATAATAAGCACATTCTATGGACAATAAAGAAAGCTGTACAAAAACTGTGTAAAAGGCCAGCACAACAGAGCTGCATAAGATATAGCAGAACAAAGAAGAATAAACAACCACCCTAGAAGAACTTACAAAATCTGGAGCTCTCTCTCCCACTCCCTATCCCTCCCTACCAACTCATAAGAATAAACAATCACACAAGAACAACTTGGAACACTATCTCGCACTCCCTATGCCACCCCACCCCACCGCATTCAAAGAAGAATTTGGCTTTAAAATTCCAAAAAACAGGTATACTTACAAGTAAAAGTCTTTTTTCCACCAAAAACAGAGTAGAAGTCTTTACCTAGAAAAACTAAACTCTTCAAAAACGATTCCCATATCATAACAGAAATTTCAACCCAAGAATAAGTGAAAAGGTGGTTCTAATTATACTAAGAAATGTCAAACCAATAAAAAGGATCTATTTCTCCAACCAATAGAAGACAGCACTAAGATTTCAGTCTCATCCACCCCGCACTCTCACAAATTTCATACTGAGCACAGGAGCAATGAAAAGAATAAAATGTTCCATGCAAAGGTATAGTATCACCTCTATTTAACACCTTCCTAAAAGAATTAATAATCAAATGCTGAAAACTAGCTGACTTAAAGCGCAAGCTATCAATTCCATTTCCAATATTCCTAACATCATTGTATTCCTAAAATAGGAGTCAGCAGAACAGACACAACTTCTTTAAAGAAATGAACTAACAAATATATAGGTTAAGTGTTAATGATATTTTAGCAGTAATGAAAAAAGAAGAAGATTACATGGGATCCTCGTGAATCTTTTTCTCTTGTACTTTCACTTATATTCTAAGAATTCCCCATAAAGACTAAAGTTAGCCCATTAGGACTAGATGGAAAGCATGACTCACATAAAAATGTTAACAGTAGCAAAACCATATGACACAATAAGTAAAAAGCATTGCCATGCCCAAAAAAATCTTATCACAGAAATTACCTAAGAGCATAAACACAACAAACAACAAAACCAATCGTTTCCCACTGTGGGGTCTGCTACATGTATCATATTAACACCATGGTGCTCTATTCAGTATCATTTCCTGAGTAAACATAGCATTCACCCATGTTTTATTTGGATTCCCCTGGACTAAACCAAATCATGACTCAAACTTTTAAATTACAGTATAAACCATTCTAAATATGCTTAGAAACCATATTCCAAGGGCCTCAACAATGTACCAAGCTGAATAAAGAAACTACTTAGTTCCCTTCTAAACTAGAACTTAAGCAAGCCTCCAGCTTAAATTTTTTTCCTATTTCCACCGACTTAATAAATAAGCTTCAATATATGCTCGGGGAAAAAATTACTAATACCAACATTATTAAAAAATAACAAACTCACGTCTTGAGCCATTTGCGTGACGATATCAGCAAAGCATGAACCCAACTCATCCTCCAATACTCTCTCCGTAAACTCCACCGCATCCAACACCGCTTTGCACTTCTGAAACGGCAATTCCCCACGCACCTGATAATCAAACGGCAACAGAAAACATTCAACTAAAAGAATAAACAAAAACATGCAAAATTACAAAAATGCAAAAAAAAAAATAAAACAAAAATACCATTGTCCAGCAGAGCTCGTAGAGGAAGCGAAGCATGGGAACGGAGGAAGAGAAGGAGAAGTTTGAGTTTCCATTTTTTCCCTCGCGAAGTATTTCCTGTGTTATGTACATACACTCTATAGGAGGGAGAGACATCTTTTTCGTTTTTTTGGAAAAAAAAATCAAAGAGAAAAAGGGAATCTGCCAACCTTAGAGATTAAGAATAAGGGTTCGGGTCTGAGAGTTAGAGGGGAAAAGGAGGGGCAAAGGAGTGGCTGGGTTGTTATTAAAGGTACTTTCATGGGGTATATGAGAAACGAGACTGATGAGAAAAGAGGGTTAGGGTTTCAGAGTATCTGCCATGGTGGGTTAAGGGGTTTGGGGAAGGGGGATTTCCGGGATGATAATGATTCGTCCGTTTTGGGATTTCGGATTTTGGGCCGGATCTCCATAGCCCAAAGTAAGAAAGAAAAGTTGTGACACGCTAACAGTAGGGAGACGTAGTATTCAGTACCTTGCATTTTCAGTCACTAAATAACAAGTTTATGTAATTAATAAGCAAAAACGGTAATATTTTATTTTGGAAAAAAAATAATGCTAATTGCTCAGCTCATAACTTTTTCTTATTTATTCATCTAACATATTCAATAATTTAAAAAAAATTGACAATTTTTAAAATTATAACTTTTTCTTATTAATTTGCCTAATATCTATAACGTTATAAAAAGAAAGCCGCAACTGGGTTCCCAGAATTGGCAGCGTGAAGGCTTCGGGAAGGGAATTGTGAAATTGCAATAGGGCTCCCAAAATTTGCCACGTGGAGGCTAGAGGAGGAGAGTTGTCATGTGTTTGGTGGGCGAACCGCATGCCCGATGGAATAGGTTGTGTGTTTTGGCGTAGGGTATGCTTAGGCAGGCCACATGCCCGATGCTTTTAGAATTCCCTTGGGTCATCTTCTTATGCATGCCTGTATGGGTGAATGTTTGCTTTCCTTACATCCCTCTGTTTCTAGATTGACGTGAGAGCGTTTTGGGTCATCGAGATTTTGGAACCAGCTGCTCACGTGTATGGCTCGAATAGGTGTTGTGTTTGGATTATTCGGCACTGTCTTTTCCATGTCCATTATCAACTTGCTATCGTCTTTGCTCCCTAACTTTTGCGTTTCTTAAAGTTCCTCGTGTTTTTCAATCTTGCTTGTTTTTTTCCCCAGTTTTGGTTTCATTCCTTTTCCCTTAACTCTCCAAGTCTTTCTATATCTGGAAAAAAAAGCACACCAGAAACTTGGAAGACTGAAAAACAAAAGATAGGCACAAACTAGGGAAACAAAAGACAACCCTTTCTTTCCTTATCGTCCTTTAATTTGCTTACCTTGTGTGTTCAGGTCATCAGCTTGGGATGGACACGACTTCTCAGCTTTCAGGTGCTTGACATTTCCACAAAAGTTTCTAAAATCCTTTTTTGGAGGTAAACCCATTTTTTCATTTTTGTTAATTTTATATTTTTGATGTATTTTCAATATAGGTTCATGGATTTGTATCTTTTATTTAATTTTAAGATTCATTTCTCATCTGGGTTTTATTGGTTTTTGTTTAAAAAGGTTTATCTTTCCTTAATTCAATGGACTAATATATTGTGTATCTGTTTTACCTGTTATTGAGATTTATCTATTTTTTTTCTCTTTGTGTTCGAATTTAGATGAATTATTGATGGCTTTAACCATTTCGTATATATTGTTCTATTTTTCATTTAACAAATGTGTTTAAGACAATCAATTAGGGCCTGGTTTGAATAGTTGATATGTATAAAAGAAAGCAATTTGCTATTTTGTTAAGTAAGTTGTAAACCGACTAAATCAAACCATGATGTAATTCACATTGAAGCAAAGCAAAGGAAAACAAGATTACATCCATAGGATCAGGTAATTAGACATTGGTGCAAAAAGGGAAGATCAATTCCTCTTTTAGCAACATTCTATCTCCATCTGAATCCCAGGTGTCAAGTGGTACGCATGGTGTCAAGCTCTGTGCAGGAATTAATGAGCTTCTTCTAGCTAGGCTAGGCTTTGCTACCTTTTACAGCAGAAACATCCTTAGAGACAAATATGGCAAACAAGGCTATTTCATTACTTTAAAGTACTAAGTACAGCACCATCTAAAGTCTAAACATTGTACACAATGGACTGACCTTGTAACAAAACCGCAAAACTATTGTGTTTGAGTTTCTAAAGAAAATAAGAACCAGAATAGCTTTGCTTATCTGCTTTGTTTGGGTTCCAGTTTGCGAGAAGGTGAATGTATGTACAATTTGCAAATTTTTTTATGAATCCAAAAATTGTTTTAATTCAGCATCTACAGGGTCTATATGCTTTTGTGGTTTTTGTTTGATATATATAGAAAATGAGGAAAGAATTAGCTAGAATAACTATGTAAAGTTGTCTTTTGTTTGAAGTTATTTGAAAGATGGAGAATTTATCTTTGTGAAATTTTTGACTTACTTTCTGATTAAATTTGTCTTAAAAAGACAAACAAATTTGCCTTGCTATTATTTATAGGTTCTTTTTATTTTTCTTTCTCTACTCGTGTTTAGAGAAATTTGATTAGACAAAGGATTAAAGAGGGTACATTAAAATGTATTAGATAGGGTTTGGGCTAAATGTTAGTTTGTTATTTTCATTGTGGTTATTACAATATTCTATAGCAAATGAGTAGTGTTTTTTTTGCACCTCTATTATTGGTATTTTGGTCTTTAGTGTAAATTTTGTTTATTTCTTATGTTTCTCATATTATGTTAATTTTCTACCTTCTTATTCTTCATGCATTTTTTTATTGATTTCTTTGTCATTTATCTTTTGCTGAAAACTTGGATCAATCAACTGATTATCCCAGTGAGGTTAACTTTCGCATAAGATTGTGTTTGGAGTTGATTATTGTGTCTTATAGGGAAACTGTATAGAGTTTTTAAATTTAATTCTTTTCCTTTTTTAGATATATATGTTTCATACTTTGTTTTATTGTCAAATTATATTTGTTTTGTTTGTAAATCATTATTACACTTTTGATATCCAAATTTTTTTGATTAAATTCACTACTTTATGGGGTTTAAAAGATGTCCATGTCTTCTGGTTACTTTATTTGCATTCATATATTATAACTATTGATTAACTTTTTTTTTGTTGCCATGGGATGGTTGTGTTTCCAAAAGTTTTGGGGCATATTGAGATATCGATGGTAGACTTTTTTAAGCTAGTTGAAAACAAGTTCAACCCATCACTAGCAATTTTAGAGAAAACCTTTAGATCACTAAACGGAAAAGGATGTTTGACTAGATGTGCACAACAATTGAACATATGGATTAAAAGTCGCTTTGAGTGTGAAAAAAAGTAAGTTTTGAGCACCATTCCTTTCTACCAGTGTTGCCATTAGAGAGTTTTATAAAAGTGAATGGCTTGAGTAGAAATCTAAACAAACATGGATCTTAAGACTATGAAGCCTCACAAGATAGTAGGTGGTATGAAAAGCACCATGGATGGCACTTCAATCCATGTTATGTAGTTATGGGAATAAGATGTCAGTTCCTCTTCTAGGATTATGGGTGGCAATTAGTTATGCTCCACTTATGGTACTTAGAGAGGTTGGATTTGAGCAATTTGTTCTAATGACTCATAAGCTTGACCGAATTGAGTTTTCTTACGGCAAACCAGGGATAGGGAAAAAGGTTGAAGAGATTACTAAGGCATGGAAGCAAACTCATAGAGTAAATTCAAAAAGATTCACTGATAATATTACATTAGAATATTCAATATGGCAGACACAGAGAATTAAAGACATTGTGTATCCTTTTGAATATAGCTCTAACTACCCAAATAATGTGGAACTTCAAAATGCCCCTATCACTAAATTTCAACTTGAAATTGAAGGAAATAGATTGAAGCAGGAAACTAAAGAACTCAAGAAAAGTGGAAAAGCTAATGGGTGAAGTTGATGAACGAGAAAGAAAATCATAAAATTGCATACGGAGAAAAAGGTTTGGAAAGAAATGTCTGATGGCTCAAGAGTCATTTTTGAATTAGTAACTACTAAACTTAATTTGTTACAAAGAGAGGTTGAGCAATTGCAAGCAAAATGTCAAATGGTTGAAGAACAAAATGAGGCTCTCCAACCTTCTACCAATAGTTTGGGCCATAAACTATACATCCAACAAAGAGTAAACCATGTACTTAGAGGAGGATGTGATCAATTTGAATGGATTGTACGAACACTTCAAAATGAGTATGATCTGGTCAAGTAAGAACTTTCCAAGAAACAAGCCTTAATGGAGTATGTTACAAAACAAATCACCAAGGTTTTTTTCACAACAAGAGAAATGGAAGATAAGGCAAAAATCCTCATAAAGGAGATCATTCCAACAGAAACATATAGTTGTCATATGCTTAGCTTCTTAGATGAGGCATATGATCAATATCAACAAGTTGGTCATTTCATGTAGACTATATGAAATGGATGTAATAAACAAGCCTTTCAAGGTTAATTGAGGAATTTTTTGTTACCAATATTTGTTATGTGATAAATACCTTGAAGCATATTCATTCTTACATTCATCAAAATGCATAAACATGCATACATATTCATAAAAATGCAATTACCAAATTTACATTATATGGCACAAACACATGTTAACCATTGAAAATCTCGAGGTAACCTATTTGTCATTCATACAATACTCAATCGTGGGATAAGGTCAGAATCATGGAAAACGAATAATTAAGCCAAATAGATAAAGTCAAGAAAACTCAAGAGGAGATGATGGAAAAATTGACAAGATTAATGGAAATGATGGCTTCTATTAAAGGAAGAGGAGTTGTTGAAGGATCTTTTATTCAAAATGGTTCTCAATTCCAACATAAAGATAAAAGGGAGCCTTTATATGCCTCAAGATTCACTCCACCCTAAGTGCATGTTGCTTAACAAACTTAACAAATGCCAAACCACTAATAAAAACTTACCGATTCCCTAAAATGCAACCACATGTAAGATATATGCTAACCCAAGGAAACGTTATGCCAACTTCTGGTGCAAACCCTCATGAACCAATTTCTGTGCCTGATTTGGATGACCCCAAAGAATAAGAAAAGTTAAAGGCAGCTTCGAGAGCAATACGAAAATATGATCATTTGGAAGAGCGTTTTAGATCTGTTGAAGGATTGGATTTCTATGCCACCATTAATGCAGTAGAATTGTGTTTAGTACCTAATATGGAGCTAAGCGCGGAGGAGAACTTAGAGGTATATTGGGTCAACATTGATGTCCGCTTATCCCAAGGGCATCAGTAGGTTGCATTATGGTAGTTGGAGGTTCAAGCAGCATTCGGTTTAGAACAAACGCAAAAGATCATCACGCACAAGAAGAAAAATGTTACAAGAGTCATTAAATGGAGGTGCATTATGGACAAGGAGGTCAATGCCCTTCTTATTGCTCTTAAGGCTCTTGTTGCTTAATCCTTGTATGATGATCAGACATATACTATACTACAGCCGCATATGCATATAGTCATAAAATGTAAGTTGAAACGGTTGAAGAAGCAATGGAAGAAGGACCTATAGCCAATGCAATTGGAGATCTAGCGAGAGATTCAATCAATGTAGTTGGAAATCCAATGAAAGATCCAATGAGAGATGTAGGGGCTGAAGAATTAACTTATACATCAGTTTCTCGACCATTTTGAGATATGAGCTTCTAGCTTTTTTCTTTTTCAACATATAACATTTAGGATGAGTTTGATGTTTTAATGTGTTTCATTTCTATCACTATGTAAGGTGGGTCTATTGGTCAACACCATGGTGCGTGTAACAAAAATGGTGACACCCACAGGGTTGATGGTGATGAACCAACTAGTATGGATTTGAGGACGGGTGGTGATGAGCCAACTGGTTTGGATTTGAGGACGGGTGGTGATGAGCCAACTGGTTTGGATTTGCATACAAGTGGTGATGTGCCAACTAGTTTGGATTCACATATAGATGCTAAGTAGTCCTAATTAGGCTTGTATGTCTTTCTAACTCAAAGCACACCTTCTTTTGCGGCCTCACATCATGTTCAAAGTACACCTTTTCTTACTCAAAGCACAAATCCTCTAGAGGCCCCATATCCTGCTCATAGCACATCTCTGCTTAAAGCCCCACATCATGCCTAAAGCACATCTCTGCTTAAAGCCCCACATCATGTCTAAAGCACATCTCCTCTTGAAGCCCCACCTCCACCTTTAGTTGAAGATGCACGGATAAGCATGGCTAGTAAATACCTGAGGAGCCCTTACGTTAGCCCTTTATTAGTCCAACACAAAGAGAAAGACATGTTGAAGGAAAAATACAAGTGATTTAAGAATAACGAGCACGCTAGGTAAAATGAAAGCATTACACAATATTAGGCATTATCGTTCGAAATAATTGAATCTAGTGACCTTTTGACACTAGTATTTTATATGTGCAGAGTTAACACGATAAGCATCAAAGGGCAAGAAGCCCCTGAATTTTCAAGCAATTAGAGAAACAGGATGAATGGATGAACAACTAACACATTGACGCATGCATCAACGTCATGTGTAAGTGTAGTCGTGAACATCATTCCCTATTACACAAATGGAACATATGTATCATTGACATGCTTTTCTATGTAAGTATATTATAATGAGTTTTAATTATTAAAATATTTTTTAAGGGTTTAGTTCATGGTGTTTGACTATTAAACGTAACTTAATTGATAAGGTATTTTGCATGCCATGTGTCGTGAAGTGGACTCTAAACCCTTTGATCTGAAGTTCAAGCCAAAGAAGGTGGTTATTCCTAAAGTTCTGCTTGATTATGTTAAAGGTGACAGTTCTCTAGGGGGAAGTCATGGAATGAGGTCAACTCAATCTTGGTGCCATGCCATTTTAGTGACCATTGGATTATAATGCATATCAACTTGGTCAATAGAAGTATAACGTTGGTGAACTCCTCATATGCTCGTTTGGATGCAATTAAGTTCCCATTGCATGTGGATCAGATGCATCCTTTAACTACGCTGATTTTTGTTATATGCCACTAGTTTGAGTACTTTGACAGATTACATTGTAGAAAACGACCTTGGACACGGATGAGTTGGCAATTAAATAGTTCAACCTCGGAACAAGAAGACAACAACAGTTGTGGGGATTGGTAATCACTACAATGAAGTGGCTGATAAATATGCGTGACATGATGCTAAGGAAGGGCGTTATTAAAGGGCTGAGGAAAGATATACATTAAAGATGTTTGCTAATACCTTTGTTTATTAGATAGATTCATTGTGAAATGCAAAGCAACCTTGTTTATTTGTTTGATGCAAACTTAAGTTTGTAAAGTAACTTTGTTTATTATTGCTCCAAACCATTGAATTATAAACTTTTGAATTATGTATAGCTTTACAATTGTGAAAATCATATCTTTTATAGATAGGTTACATAATTTACAGTCCAGAATTAAACATGAGTATAGCATATGGGCATGGCATGACTGGTTGATAGGGTATTGCATGATTGGATATTAGGCATTATGTGACTAGATATTAGGCATTGCGTGACTGTTTTTAAGACATTATTAGGCATAGCGTGACCCCACATCCAGCATTCCATTACATGACTAGTTTTTAAGTATTACGTGATCATTTTTTCAGCATTACATGACTGGTTATTAGGTATTGCATGATTAATTTTTAAGTATTACGTGACTGGTTTTTAGGCATTAGGTGACCCCACATCCGGCATTACATTATATTAAACATGATTTACTTGCAATTTAAGGCTTACATCCGGCATTGCATTATATTAAACATGACTTACTTGCAATTTAAGGCTTTTCAACACCAAAATTAAATGTTTGTCTACTTGAATCATCAACATTATAGGTAAAACCATAAAAAAGAAATTGAGAAATTGGCAATTTCTTCCCATATTAAGTGAAGCAATTTGAAAAAAACTTATAATGGTATTCCTCCTACCAACATTCTTATCCTCTATTTTAAAATTAATCAATTTCTATCAAAGGCTAGCTTCCTTAAGAAACAAAAGAGTAAGATTTTTCTTGAAAATAAGGGAAATATACAATAGCAAGCTTTCTCTTTTTTTCCCCCATTTTCTTTTCTAGTTTGGGAGTTAATTACCTTATGCTTCTATCAATCGCAAGGTCATGTCACTTGGCAATATCATGCTGGCGAAGAGTTTTATAATATCAGAATGCATGTTCATTGATCATATTAAGCATTAATGAGACATAAGAAAACTAATTGACAAATATGTATTGAAAAGTAATTAACAATGATGTTACACGTTTAATCTGTCAATGGCAATAGACCATACAAACTAGGATAAACATCAGGTTCATAAACAACAATCAAAATATCATAACAAGAGTATTTTGGCTTCATTAATTAATCAGCATACAAATCATGATATATGTCATACACTTCATTCCAAGGAGCCATTATCTTCGTCTACGAAACCCCATACATTCTCAAAATTTGTCATTCACATTGGATAGTAATTGCGTGTGTGCCTTGGTTGTCTACAAGTTGAACATGCTTTCGGTCATTGTCATCGTTAAAGCGTTAATTGACTAGAAAATGGTGCCGAATTTGTCAATGGAACTGCAAATGGTGTTGGGTAATTTTTTCTATTATGACTGTGTCTCTTGCATTGTGAACATCTCCATCGTCTACTACTTTCCTCAGTCGATGGAATCCCTTTCCTCCTAGGTTTTCCTACTTGACCTAATCAAGGTGGTGACAAAACAACAATTTGTTTCACATCAGGGGGAATTTCCCAATCATTAGGATGCCTAATTGGGAAAATGGGAATAGCATAATCCTCCACCCAAGATCGAGTTTTGAAATAGTTTGAGTAGAATTCAATGACTGCACGCTTGCACTTACTGTAAAGACAATTAACTCACAGTTGATGAACCATGTAAAAGTTTAATTCATTACAAAGCAAATAAGAAACTTGGATATTCATACCTTATTGTTGCCATGGCATGGCTGTAAAAGAGTAACTTGGTATGAAACTCCCCATATGAACATGTCTTGGTGGATAAGTTTACTTTTCTGTCCTTACTCTTGCCAATAACTTGGAACTTCGCTCCATCAGTTGTTTGTGTAAAAAAGTGACATGCTTCATTGAATCGTGTGTTCAACAAATCGATAGTATAATGGTTAAGAGGCGAGGTCAAATTGAAGGCCTCCTTGTGTTATTCATGGAACCATCGTTGAAATATGCCTCTAATGCACTCAATCAAGACATTAATTGGTAGTTTTCTTTCCTGACTCATACACGAGTTAATACATTCTACAATGTTGTATGTCATGAGTTTCTAGCACCTTATCAGTGACTGTGCACGTGCCCATCTCTCAAGGTGTAATTTCATAAGATGGTCGTAAACATCTTTGCAAATTTGTTTCAGCTACTTCATATGTCTATTGAAATTGGCTACCCTGTAGCAGTTGGCTGCAAGGGTGAAAATCATTGCAATGTTTTCGCACTTGAATATGTTTTTTTACATTTTTTTTCTAAATGGTAATCGCATAGATCGTGGTGTGCTCATGGTACACTTTTTCAATTACATTCTTAATGCCAATATGCTAATCAAAAATGGACATTGTATTTTTTAGAACAACTAATTGCATAATGCAATTAGGTAAGAAACCATGACCATGACTTTGATCCTTAACGTGGCTAATGTCAAATGCAACGGGATATATCTACTCATTCGTGTCTTTGCAGACAGTTAAAAACAAAATACTTTTGAATTTATCTTTAAGATTTGTGGCATTAATAGCAATTACGATCACATTACAACCCTGAACCTCCAAATACATGCCTTATATACCCAGAAACAATATTTGAATTGTTATGACCGATCAGTAGCCACAGCTACAATTATACAGAGATTTTCACATTCTAACATATAGAAATACGAAGGTAGGAGTTGGAATGACTTATCCGAAGAATCGAAAATAAGATTTTGTATAGTGTTTCACTTGTCGAGCCTTATCATACAAGCATTACAATCCCCATTTGTGATTGATCTCTTTCATTATTTTCTTAGGTCTCAATGGTGTTACATTATTTCCTTATAGCTTGGGGGACATAAGTTCACTAATTAACCTCGTGCTCGCTATTTGGTAGCTTGCAAACCATCAATAGTACATGTGTGTACCTTGTGGAACATGTGAACTTGTTAATAATCTCCATCAGGTAACTTTGTTGCACACACAGTTAACAAGCATGCCTTGTCCTTACAAGCAACCTCAAAATGAACGTAACATGACTTTTTAACTCTAATCTTAAAATGTTCTTTTAGTGCCAACATATTCGAAGCTTGTTTCAATTCAGCCTTAAAGGGAAACACTGTCATCGGTTGATTCAGACTCCTTGGTAGCAATTGTTTAGAAGGAGATCATATCTGCACCTAGAATAATCCATCGACAAGATTACCCTACATTTACATTTTCTTGATCACTGTCATCAGGCGAATGAATCTTGTTGTCACCAGCGATAGGGTTATTGTAAATGGCGTCATTGCATTGAACATCTTCTAAGACAACAGTTGTAGTATGTTTTGTACCGTCATCCACATGATTGCAATTCGAAATGTCGTTGTCGTTACCCCTGTCCTCATTTAAACAATCATCATGCCCGTTAAAATAATTGTCATCATTCTAATCAACAGTGTTATCTTCTGCATAATCATCACGCATCTAATAAGATGCTTCATCATCACTCACAGTCGTCACAGTGTTGTCTAAGAATGATAATGGCCCCATTATAGTCTCGGGCGATGGTTGCATTAGCTAAAACGAAGTATTTGGTTCGATGCACATTATGATCGAAATTGTGCAAATAGCATTTGCAAACACCTTGTGTGTGTACCACGCTGCTCAAACTCATATGCATACGTCAATGGTGATTACCATTGTTGTTAGTTAGGGATTAGATGGTGTCATATGTGTGAAGTAGTATAAATCTGATTTAGGTGATTACTATATTGGATAGCTTGTTCATGTGGCATAACATTTGTATGTCGTTCCTTAACGGTCACAAACACGACAACTCCTCTCTCATTTCGCAGAATACTTGCTAAATTTTCATCAGCCTTGATAACTGGGTGTGAAACCCTGCAGCATAATTGAGCAATGCATTGAGCTCGATTTTGTGATTCTATGAGTTTACCCCAACAATCTCTTTAACCAACTTCATCAGGTTTGAAAACGACAAATCACTTCCAACACCCTTCACTCGTACCTTATCACCCTTGTAAGTGTCATCGACCCAATGACCACCATATGTAAGCATAAGCTTCACATTTGGCGCGTCGTTAAAATTTAACAGAAAATAATTATCACAATTAATTTATCAAACATGTTTCACGCAATACCTAAAAACCACTTGCAATGATTAAGTTACGCAATGCTTAAAAGGTAAACTCGTAACGCTTAAGTCACGTAATGCCTAAAATCCAGTCACGCAATACTTACAACCCAATCATGTAATGCTTCAGTCATGTAGTGCCTAAAACCGAGTCATGCAATATCTAAAAACTAGTCACGTAATGCTTAAAAATTAATCACATAATGCCTAAGTCATGCGATGCCTAAAAACCAGAAACCTAATAATTAAATCACGCAATGCCTAAAAGGCAGTCTTGCAATGTCTAAGTCACGTAATACCTAAAAATCAGTCTCGCACAACTAGTGATGAATGCCTAATAACTGATTGATTTACCTACTCGTAGCCAGGTTTAAGTTACCAAAATTATACAGTGTTTTAATTTATAGATATATTTAATCAATTTTAACCCCTCAACTTTCGGGTTCTATAAATAAAAATCAATAAACCCAAAACCCAAAACACATACTTTGATGACATCTTTGCACTTTGAGATGCAAGAGAAAGTTGGATGGTGAGATAAGCAGTATTTGGCAAAAGAGAAAAATTGAGATTTAATTTTGAAATTTTTATTTGGATAGCGGAGTAAAGAAACCAGAATCATTTAATTTGTCTGAAATTGTTTAAAGGGTATTATTGTTAAATTATGCCAAAAATTAGGTAAAAACAATTAAAATTATAATGAACGGTATTTTTGAATTGGACTTATGAAAAGGGTTATTTTTTATTAATTATATATACATTAATAATATATCAAATATAAAATTATTTTTATTCATCGTAACTGCAAGATTGTTAAAGAGGAAAAGCTGATCACGCAAAATTCATAATAAAGCTCAAGAAAATGCCTAAAGGACAGGACAAGCAGTGCACAGGCGAAGTCATTCTCTTTGATGCAAACGGCCAAACCTTCTCGTGGCGGCCCTGGGAGTTAAGGTAAGACTCAAAAACCTTATGGGCGAGCCCCTTTTGAACACCTTTCTAAATTTAGGGAAAGATTGTATTTCTTTATTTGTTTTGCCTAACCAAGGTCCTACCAACATGAGAACTAACTCAATTATTGACGTTTAGATAAGTGATAATAAAGGAAAAAAATATAAAAAAGGGGGAAAGGTGAAAAGGTTTGCTCACATAAACAAGAATTAATAAGAGAGAAGGACACCAAATTCATGTTTAAAAGCAAAACATAAAATGAAAGTTTCATCTTGACTTGGTCGCATGCTAACCACCAGAATTCGTTTACTATTGTTCTTCTCATCAAGCAGTTCAAAATATGATTATACTATTTATTCTAGTCCACGATTGTTATTCAAAGGGCTGGAGGCCTTGTATATGTTGACCAGATTGGCTTGACACCAAGAATTTCAGTTTTCTGAGCAAAGAAAATGAACTGTATGCTCAATATTTGTTTTTGTACATTGAACTGTAATCTGTAAATCACAACCAAAATTTCCCTACTCTACATGCATGTTTTGCTTCGATTATTGCAATCAAAAAGACCTTTTGAGATCTTTGAAATCCATGGGATCAACACATTCCACTTTATTCCTGTGGAGATTCAACAATTTCAACAACTCTGAAACTTTCTCCTTTGTCTTGTCAACACAGCCAAGCTGCAGGAGCAGCAACAGCTTTTGGAAAGCACCCACTTGCAGAGCTTCAACGAGAACGCCTCCATCTTCACTTTTCTCGTTCTTGCAAAGCTTCCACAAAATGGAGAGTGAGAGCTCAGTTGCCAAATTTGAGACCCTCAGGATTTTCTTAACCAAAACCGGCATGCTTAAGGCATTGTTGCAGGCCATTTGTCTGCCTTCCTCGCTGTTGCAGATCCCATCAAGAACACCTAAAGCCTTCTCGCACAAGCCTCTTTCACTGTCCACCAGCGTTTCTAGTAACAATGAAACTATTCCTAGATTAACAAACTCTGCTATTAGTTGCTCATTTGTTGACGTTGATGTGATCATGTAGTAAATGACAGTTAAAGAAGCTTTTGTAGCTGTGGGGCAAATTGGGTCCTTAATCAGCTTAAACAATGCTTCAATGGCACCTTCCATCTCCGATAACTCATCCATTTTTTCTTGACCAAGCTCCTTTAATACCAAAACTGCGTTTCTCCTCCTAGATAAGTCTCCGCTGCTTAAAAACCATTTCAAGCAATGCATAGCTGAAACTGATCCTAAGAAACCTTTAGCCTCTCCGTCAAGAGGAAACATTATCGTCAAAGCAGACAATATCTCCTCTAGAACTGCAACATTTACATCAAAAGACGCCTTGGAAAAGGCTTGAAAAGCTTCTGATAAAACGCTGCCTGCCCCGTTGGTCACAATGCACCGTTTGTTACGTTCACTCTCCTTTGCCAATGACTTGACCTTGACCACCAATTCTCGGCACCCTTCTCCATCTTCTTTCTTGAAAGCAACATCAATTTTCGAAAGAATCTCCAAAACCTCCGTCGAACTAACGGGAACTCGAGGCGTAGGGATTCTCTCAATCCCAAAAGACCGGTTCTCAACGCACCAATCTTGTATCCTCTTCCTTATCGTGTGATTCGGAATCGGTTCGAGACTCCTCAAAACCTGATTTGTAAGAGGACAGGTGAAATTCCCGGCTTCAATCCACTTCTCAATGCTCTCTCGATCATAAGTTATCCCTGTGGACAAAGTGACAGGATCTTTCATCAAGTCTAGCGATATCGGGCACCTGAAATCTCTTGGTATCGTCAGCTCCATTTCCCCATTTTCATTCCTTCTCGGCTCTTTCCCTGCGCGCCTGGCTGCTCTTCTCCTCCTCCATGAAGAAATCATCATGAGTCACAAGATGGGCAGAATCAATACACAACTTTGAATATATCTTTCTCCTTGGTTTCTGGTATGTAATGAAGAATGTTGTTTTTTGGCTTTGGTGAATGAACTGGAAGGCAATTATGGTGAGTTATTAGTATATATATATATATACATATGTTGATATATATCGATTAGACAATGACATACGGTTGTTCAACGTCTTAGACCTTAGGAAAATTATTAAATTTAAAAAACATAAAAAAATATATAAAGAAGGAAGGGAGGCCGTGATGAAGCTTTGAATATTTGACCGTTGAATTGATAAATTTGAAATGGTAAAAGGCGACAGTGTCAAGACCGAAGGGTGGAGGGTGCGGCTTTAGAATTGAATCAAAAACTTTGACGCAACCTGAAAACGAAAGCCCCGTCAAATGCATGGGTCGGTGGACTGGCTGACTCTAGCGGTCGGTCTAGCCATGTGATGAGGAGTATCAATTTCTTTTTCTTTTCTTCAATGTTCTAATGTTTTTTTTTTTTCCCGAGTAATTACTAGCGTAACCTAACGCGTCCCAAACGCGCAACCCATTTTTCCTTAGCGGAGACAATTAATGGAAATTGGCTACGTTTACGTTGATGATGATTAAGATCCAACTGTTAACGCGTACCCAAGTGGAGATATGGCGTTTCGCCGACGAAGGGGAAGAAAATCTACGGTTAACGTGTAGTGTTGGGGACATGGCGTTTACAGCTCCTCTTATTCTCTTCAATTTTCTTGTGCATATTTACTCGGTCCACCCACTAATTTTTTTGTCTATACTTATCATTTAAACCCTAAGTTTTTTTATTCATAATTTTTTTTATAAATCTTTATTTAATCCTAGCTCCGTCCTTATATACATTGATAATTTCTTTACAAAACCTTTGAATTTAAAAACTCATTTTTTACTCGTTTTTACGAAACAATGAGAAGACGAAACTAATGCATGAACGACTTTGATTAATGCCAATGTCATGACGAAGAAAGAGTATATAAAAATAATAATAATTACGGTTGGTTAATTGAGAAAGCAATGGTCGGTAATAAATTAAAAAAACGAGAGTTGCGGAGGAATTGAGCAATTGAGAACATGGGGGAGGAGACCAACTGACCAAATTCCCTAGTAAATTTTGTTCAACAGTCTGTAAAGAATGACTCAATTTTTAGGATGAATGCATAGCCATAGACTAAATTGCCATGAACATTAACTAGACATCAACGTGAAAACAACGAGTCATCAAAATTCCCAAGGACTTAAAAAGTATTGGAAGTGTTTTTTTTATTCCAATGCGTTACCATTTTTCACCGGCGGTAAACGTGGATACTCCCTTATTCTAGAATAAGAATCGAATACGATAATCAAAAGATAGTAGCTAGCAACGACGGTCCAAATTAAATTGACAAAGCAAAATGGAGTGAACAGAGGGAAAATTAAGAAGAGAGGTGCCTTTAGCAAACAGTGGGAAGAAAAACAGGAGCGGGCTTGTATTCCATGAGAATATCCGGCGCCGAAAGGGGAACAGGAAAAGGAAAGTTTGAGGGGAATGCAATGTGAAGCTGGAGACCAACAAAACAAAGTGGCGGGTGACAGACCATCTGGAAGTCCGAAAGTCTTCGAATCCAACATCACTCAGGCTTTAGTGCTACAGGAAATAAGCAACTATAGTGACATGATACTATCTTTTTCTTGCTTTTAACTCGTTTAAGGGGTCGGTTCCGTCCATCTTATTCTATACTTTTAATTTTACAATATCTAGTTATAATTATACCTTAGATTAATATTTATCATAATATCTAAAAAAGTTTTTTAATTATATAAGAAAAGTTAAATAGATTTTTTTAATTATTTTTAATCAAATATTTATATTTATATTTTGAATTAAATAAATTTTTATTATTAATAATTAATTAAATACCGTTAGTTTAAATGTTAGTTATTATTTTTTATATCATGTGGTGCTATATGTTGACCATTTTTTATTTTAAAAATCAAAGAGAATATAATTATATGACTGGATTTATCTAGAAGGATAAACTCGAAATCAAAAAAGTATAATGGAAAATGAAACCTTGAAAACTAGACGATGGAAATAATAAAAGCCAATAAAATGTTCATATAATATAATAATACGGCCACGTGATATTTTCATCATTCATATTTATGTCATATTAACTTTACATGAATATAAAATTATAAATAATAGTTTTAAATAATTACTATTAAATTTTAGATGCTTCATTAGAGTATACTTTTATATATGATCTCCAAAATTTTAAGTTAGGGATCTAAGATTTTTAATTTGTAAATTTAAAATTCTACCCATGAAGGCATATTCTCCTTATGAAAAATTATGAATAATTATATATTTATTTATTTTATACAAATTATATTATACTACAATAACTAGGAAAATGTTAAATTTCATTAGCGAATTTATTGTTACATTATAAGGATTGTCACATCTCCACAGGATTGAAATTATTTGTTTATGATTTAAGCTTGAAATTTTAGTAAGATAATGAAATTATATTTTGACTTTGAAACAATTATTGGATCAATTTCTGTTGATTCTGTAATGTAAGGTACATGGTCTAGATCTGCTGAAATAATCCAACAATGTCTATCAAAACTGCAAACAAGGAGTTCAAAAACAGGAGCATAAAAAACCAAGTCCTAGTTGGAATATGACCTGTCAATTGTTGCAAGTCGTAACCAATTACATAAGGGACAATTGACTGCTGAGGATTGGTTCAAACTGTTGATTGGGCATAGTTGTTTCTTCTACAGGGTACGACAGTATGACCGTGGACTATTCCCTTTGTTTGAACAATCTAGAATATTCCAACCCTTACAAGGATCTTTAGTCTCATCTCTCATGCCCAGAAAGGAGATTGTCACGTTCATGATTCATGGATCATTCTTCCCAATGGCAAGTGGCAACCGGTGGTATTCTTCCCTTCTTTCTTTGTTTTTTTATAATGAATAATAGACATTCCATGTATCCAATTATTCACAAATTATATGAAAATAATGAATAATAACTTTTCAATTATTCAATTTATATAAATAGTCGGACCGTCAAACATTTCATTAAATTTTTTTTAAAAAAATAAAGATACATTGTACATGCAACTTATCATTAAAACAAATATTCGAATACTTTGCATTCTTTTTAAGTACAATTCCTGCTATTTTCTCTCTTAGGATTGGCTCTAATTTGAACTAATAACCAAATTAAAGGAGTACCTAAAAATGAAAACCAATAAGTATATGTGATTAATTTGTAACCTCATTTTCATACTTATAGCCATATCTAACCCAAACCCAATTATTGCCTACCCACCCCTCGAATACAACAGTTTTGGGCCAGTAACCAAGTTAGACCTAGATTTTTCTTTATTCATTTTAGCCTTGGGAAAAAAGGCCTGGGCTCATTCCGAGTCCGGCAGAGATTGGGTAGGCTCTGTTAGAGCGATGTTAGTTTCATTTTCAAGCGAAATATTTTTCTTCATTGTCTTCTTAATAATTTAATATCATTTTTAATAATCACAAAATTGAGATAATAAAGTACCAAATACAATCAAAAATTTATGAATTCAAATTAAACTGTAATATTATTAATTTTTATTCAATAAGTTACATCGATACACGGTAATCAAATATAATTATTTAATTACGTTTGAATATCTAATTTAATAATAAGTGTATGCATTTCATATTTAAAAAGTCGAATTCATAGAATATATAGTGATGTTTTACTTGTGGTAATTTGCGTAGTATTAGCCTATTAATTAGGGTAATTTTACTCTAATGAGGGTACTTGCCACACCATAACACTCGTTAGGCAATGGAGCCACGATTGAGGACTTGGGATTCTTCTAGTACTATTATTAATCAACAGTTTACCAACCAACGCTTTGCTGGATTTTTGGATAGTATGAATGCAAGAAAGTCTGAATGTGCAAACTAAAACCCCAACATGCTCACCTCATTCTGCAAGCAAGAGAAAGTATTGGCTCAAAGGAAAGATTGGCGTTTGACTCTTAACTTAGTTGGCAACATGTAATAGATATAATCTTACACCCTCTTCCACGCTCTGCGTAATTTATGAAATGCTGCTGCCATTACTGCACCCCAACGTGATTCCAAAGGCAGGGGGTGGAAAAAGAAGAGAATCTTTTGATCAAAATCAGAAGAAAGAAAAGGAAAAGGGGGTTCGGTCAAGTAAATGCTAATGAATTTAGCAAACAAGACCAGTACAGGTAACTGTAAACCCTTTTGGAAGTTTGCAACAGTTGCTTCCCATATTTGACAACTAACTCTTAGCTGTGAAACTTGACAACCATATTAATTACCCACAATTCATTACAGTTCACTGCTATTTGTGTTTGCACAATTATATTTAGTCAAATGTGGAAACAATGCAGGAAGCTTCTGCCATGGAGTGTAAAATGGGGTTTGCTTTAGCTAGAATCGGTGCATATCCAAGGAAGAAATCTCCTCGTGTGACTCTTTTGTTGAGGATATGGTTCCCACTATTAACAGTCAAAAAAACAAAAAGAAAAATTAGAATTCTGACTAGAATTGTTGTGTTACTTTGAATTCTGATTAGCTCCAACCCTTCAGTCCATTTCCTTTTTTCCCACCTTTAGAAACATATCTTTTTGGTATATAAACAACATTTTTATTTCATTTTATGATTCAAATTAGAGATTTTTAAAATAAAATATCAAATTCTAACTTATTTAAATATCTCGATAATATTCGGTTTTATAAATAATACTTGTGTTTCTAAGCTAGTAGCATTCCTTTTGACATTTGTTGGTGGTTAGGTTAAATTAATAAGCCCCTAATGATATAGCTGGAAATATAAATAGGTAAATTGAATGCTTTTGTGCTGTTATGCCTTTGAAGCAAGCCTTTGCTTATACCAATAAACGAGAGGTGGGAAGATTGAATTTCATAGTGGTAATGAATAAAACCCTAAACCCTAACTCTAAACCTTTATCACAAAGAAAGAGAAAAAACATCTGGCTAATAATGTACTTACCATAAAAAGAAATACCCAGTTGATATACTTAACAAAAACAAGAGATGTTACCCCCTCAACCTTCCTTTTGAGTGAGGATCTTACAGAATCCTCCTCCTTAAGGCCAAATAAAAATAATTAGTAAAAGATAATATGATTGTTGGGTCAATTTTTGACCAAGACCGATAATTCTTTTCTTCGGGGGAGGAGGTGACTAAATATGGAGGCTCTGTATATAAGTCAAAGGGCAGGTTGCCACGAAAGAATCCATGGATGGAGATTGAACTAATAAACGTGAACCCAAATAAGCCAAATGGGGACAATACAGCTCAGATCGAGACCCACACCATCACATGCGCTATCATAATCACATTTGATGTCCAACATTTTTGTACTTGCAACACCCCCTTTTTCTATCTAACTGCCTTCACACGTTATTTTGGGAACCCCATCCTTTAATAATACCACAACATATCGCCTGGAATTGGATAAGCTTGACACCCCCACCCAACCCAGGAGCATGTATTGGGGCATCCTTTACTCATTGTTCTCACCACTTTCCCCCTTTTTGGATAACAGAAACAAATCATTTTGTGCCCATGCCATATACCCCAAACTCAATTCTCATTTCATCTTTGTCCTTAGAGTGATTGAATTCGTGGACTAATAGTTGGTTGAGAATGAGTTTCTTATGAACAGATTATCATGGAGGTAAGGTTTGTGCTTTTCCTTGCATGATAATCCATTCAGAGCATATTAAAAAAATTCCCATAGAGTTAAATTTTTATATCAAATTGTACTGGTATTACTCTTTGACTTGTTATTAATAATTAATTGACTTGATTGATAAAATCGTTTGTTTGATTATGGAACATGTTTGCCTCCTCCCCAAATATTTTAGTAAAAAAAAGGAAACTATATCTGCTTGTTGAAGGAAAAAAATATCTGACATTAAAATAAACTCAAATGATAGGCAGAAAATTGTGGCAGATTAAGGGGGGATCAAAGACTTGGAAAATATTAAAATATATGATATTTTGACTAATTAAGTCAGCATCATACTACAAATAATGGCCACGGAATCCGCTAATGGTAGAAATAATGCTGATGATTGGTCTTAAGATTGAGACATGGAGGGGTGCGCCTCATTCAGTCTCTGTCTAGAGGTGGAGAATATTCTAAGCAACAAATACAGCTGGCATGCATTTCATCTGGACATACAACCGCTCTGTGCCTGACACATGGCAGAGTGTGGGGCAAATCGGACAAGACAAACAACATAGATTTATGAGACATTCTTGGGTGAGGATGAGCTGTTTGCCTGTTCAGGGAGTGTCTCAATCTGCTCACATCATTCCTTCACCTAAAACCTGTGAAGAGAGGGAAATATCTTTTACCGGGGCTGGTAAGAGTCTTAAAATATCCTCATTATTTTAGCATTTGGGTTTAGATTAATGGATGTTGCTTGACTTGTTCAATTAAAACCATCACCAGGGGGGACCCTTCTCTCCTGCAAGCCAATCCAGTTAGGTCACATGGCACTTAAATATGATTGCTCTCCAAATGGGTTAATAACAATTTGATCATAAAAGCCACTTTCCTTGTGGCATGTGGCTAAAGTAAATGAATCCAACGGAATAAACCAAACAAACCTCCCTTCATTGCAGCAATAATCTACACAAAAGAATGCTTAAAGTTTACTTCATTGCAGCATGTGGGCAAAAACATAATGTCATAGAGAAGATCATGACAGATGAGTATCTTTCCACTGAATTGTTCAAATTCAGATAATTTAATCTGCATTGTAAGATATGACATTAACAAAAAGTTATTGAAGCAGTGATCTCTCCAACCAAAATTTAATCATTATCCAAATCAGTATCAACAAGGCACAGCCATAAGACGTTCAAACATGCAACAAACTGTGACAGCTAATGCGAAATTTTCAGCAAAGATGGCTTTGAACCGCTACTTAGACATCTCATCTTATATACTATCAACATAAACAAGATAGTATCTTTTTCCCCAAGAAAGGAAACGAACAGCTATGTGCAGGTTGTGAGTTCCAAAGACAGTCAACTCGGCTAAGTTTGAACCAACATCTTATAAATTATAATTACAATAAAATAAAGACAAATTATTAGATCATTCTTTCACAAACGAAGCTTCAACAACTATGTAGGAGGCATAATACTAGGGAATCAGAGCATGAAATGAATAACTTATTCCAAAAAAGAAAAAAATGCCTGAAAGGAATAGACATTTAAGATCTGCCCTTTCTTGATTTCATTTTGAAACTTCTACAAGACATCAGAAAAATTTAAACTGTTCAACTACAGAGATAAATAAAGGGGGGAAAGAAATCATTTCCAACAAAATACAGCAGAAGAGAGCAAACCTTACAATGAGAAATGAACAAGTAGTAGGAATGAACAAACCCAAACCTCTCAGAACCATGAATGGACACTAGAACTTGCCTCCTTTTTTTATCTCTTTCACCTAGCATCTGCTGATGCAAATGAATCTGCAAACCCAGATGGCCGGCATGGTATACTGGTCTGTGTAGTGTCTGTACTGGCCAGAAATGATGATGAATCATCCAAATTGCTATTTCCCTCAAATGCTTGCCATTTTTTCAATGCTTGTGGTAAAGTCAAGTCAAGGTCAATTCCATATATGTCATCAGAATCAGGTTCTGCTGGTTTCCAGAGCTCTGCTAGTGATGACAGCACATTGACTACGTGACTCATATCTGGCCTCTGGTAGGGCTCCCTTGCACAGCAGTGGCCAGCCAGCTCAGACACAGTGCTTATACTGGCAAGTGTTTCCTCATCAAGCTGAATAGTTTTGTCAATGGCCTTTCGGAATGTATCCTTGTTTGTGTGCATCCTACGGAACCATGTCACAAGGTGCAAACTTTCCTCGGGCTGCGTTTCATCAAGTGCCTTTCGGCCTGTGATCAATTCCATGAGGATCACACCAAAGCTAAATACATCCACCTTTGTGGTCACTCGTCCAGTAACTGCCAAAATGTGAGAACTTTCAGTGCTAATGCCAGGAATTATTAGAAGAGACAATAAATTTAATGAACACTTGCATAGTGAAATAAGGCAAATTCACAAATAACTTTAAAAACAAACATTTCTTGCGACAATGTTAACCCAACAAAAAGGATGTTCCACACTTAAACCAAAATAAACCTTAATGCTTTTGTTGGTTAATTAGAAAGTGAAGAATCACTCTATGTTAGACACATGTAATTCACCGCAGCAAGCAAACAGGAACTTATATTTTATTGGACATTCAGGAGCTGCTCAGAAGTGTCTCAATCTGCTAATAACATCATGACTTCACCTAAAACTTCTGAACAGAGAATATATTCACCAGAACCTTGCGAAGGAACTTAAAAGATTTCCTTATTGAAGGGCATCATTGTCTAACATAATGAAACATATTGCTCTTCATTATTTAAGTAAATACTCCTATATTTCACTTATGCTTTAATCCCATAAATAAAACGGAACCCAACAGAAGCAAAACATACGAAAGGCCTTTCCAAGAACAAAACAAAAAAGGCATAATGTGCAGGAATTTCAGATCAGAAAATGAAGAAAAACTAAAATTACTTACCGGCATACTCCGGTGCCAGATACCCAAATGTTCCTGCAAGTCTTGTTTCAACTGAATGTTTACCATCAACAGGAGCAAGACGAACCAAGCCAAAATCTGCAACTTTGGCACGCATATCATCTCCAAGAAGAATATTGGATGGCTTAAGATCTCTATGAATGAAACTCTGTTGTGCCAGACCATGTAGATACTCAACACCTCGAGCCACATCCAGGGCAATTGTAAGTCGTCTGGTCCATTCAAGTGGCTTCAACCCTTCATCCTTCCAGTTGAATACGTGCCTACTAAGGGTCCCTTGGGGCATGTATTCATAAACAAGAAGCCTCTCATTTCCATCCAAGCAATATCCGAGAAGTGCTACTAAATGACGGTGACGAACCTTAGTAAGAACTGCAATCTCAGACTTAAACTCAGCCAAACCCTTCTCACTCACAACACCAGACTCCATCCTTTTCACAGCAATCTTTGTCCCATCATGCAATTCCCCTTTGTAAACTGTACCAAAACCGCCTCTTCCCAATACATTTTCCTCACTGAAATTATTCGTCACATTCCTCAAAACTTGAATTGAGATTACCATGTTTCCAGCCTCAACCATGTGAACATCACTAGGTCCACTGCTCGTGTGGCTGAAAGTTTCACTTCCACCATTGACACTGGATCCAGCAACAGTGATCTTAACTCCTTCTTGGTCACCAGAATGATGAGGATGTATGACTACTGTAGTTGGACTCTGTACCCTACTTGAACGCTTTCCTTTTCTAGCATACAAGCAGATACCCAAAGCAAGTAGACCCAAGCCACCAACTGCACCAATTACAGAACCCACAACCGTCCCAGTATTGGATTTCTTTTCACCACTCCCAGAAGAACTACCACCACCACCGCCACCAGGAGACCCACCAGGGGACCTGCCTTCAGGTGTGGGAACACTTTCTTTTCCAATATCAGGGTTTCCATCAGTTTTTATCACAACATTTTGCCTAAAAGGCGGTATTTTTCCATACAGCCTATTGTTTGAAACATCTACTCGAATGAGCTTTGGCAATGTAGTGAGCTCTATTGGTATTGTGCCAGTAAGATTATTACCCGAAAGATCCAAAGTTGTCAACGAAGTAAGCTTAGCAAAATTACTAGAAATTGTACCAGCGAGCCCCTTTTTTGCAAAAAGAACAGATACAATGTTTCCTTGAGCACATGAGATACCTAGCCAATTATTACAAGGATCATTCCCTATCCAATTATTAGCAAAATTCTCTGGATAACCAACAGCTTCCATAATAGATAACAATATATTAACACGCTCATCACAAGCAACACCAGGCCTATCCAAGCAAAACCTATTACTACCAGCCGTCATATCCACAATTACAGTATCAGGAAATTTAGGGGTTGGCCCTTGAAGTTCATTATTAGTCAAATTCACAATATAAAGTGACGTTAAATTAACCAAAGACAAGGGAACAACACCAGTGAACTGGTTATCTCTCAAACTTAAATTCCGCAACTGAGTTAACATAGAAAAATCTGGTAAGGGACCTGAAAACTGGTTCCCGTGCAACCATACCTCTGTCAAAGAAGACATGTTCCGTATCACTTCAATTGTCCCATTCAAACTCTGCCCATTAACCCACAAAGACTGAATCATAGAACCCGAAAACTCGGCAGGCAATTCTCCTTCAAGTGTGTTCATAGCCAAATGCAGTTCTGTCAAGGTTGGAAACGTAACAGGGTCAAACAAATCTGGAAATCTCCCTTTAATATTAGCCTTGTTGGCGGAGAAAGTTTTCAAGGAAGTTGCTTCCTTTACGCTCTCTGGAATCTCCCAAGGTTCGAACGGGTTGTAGTCAAGATAAACAGAACTCAATGAAGTTAAGCCCGTGAAGAAATCCGCTGGAAAAGATGAGAAATTGTTGCTGTGAAAGTTAGCTTCTTGCAACTGGCTCAACCCAGCAAGGCTTGGGATTTGTCCACTGATTTGGTTGTTCATGACTTCAAAGACGGTAAGCTGAGACAGGTTCTTGAGATCAGGGGGAAGGATTCCACTAACATTTTTGTTGGGTATTTGGATCCTGGTGACCCTGTTGTTTTCACAGCTGACATTATCCCATTGGCAAGGGTCAGGATTAGACCAGTCAAGGGAAGATGTGATTTTTAGGCTTGTTTTCAGCTTTTCCATGACTGAAGAGTCAGGGCCGGATTGAGAAGCGACCTGGCAAGTGAAGAAGCAAAGGAGTGAAAGAAACCAAAAAAGAAGACAACCCAAAACATGGGGTTTCTTCATTGTTCTTCTTTCTTGTTTCTCTTGGGAGAATTGGAGAGAAAGTGAGGGAATTTGAAAGAAAAGTTGCAATCTTTATGTTACTTTTGGCCAAATGTTTTTCTTCTAGGGTTTATGGAAGCATTGATGGTATGATCAACAAAACTCAAAAGAAGAGTTATGAGAGAGAGGTAATTGAGAGAGTGAAACGGCGGGGACAGAGGGAAAGAGAGAGAGAAAAGTGGGGCAAATTACACAAAAAAATCAGCCTTTTTTTTTTATATAGAAGTTAAAGAGTGAGTGAGTGAGATAGACTTGCTTTCCTTTTCCTTTGTAAGCTTTGTTAATATGTTTGGTTTTGAAGAAAGTGAAAAGGAAAATAGTTGGCACATGCAAATTTGGTCCCACCTTCCTATAATGTCCTTCAATTTAACTCTCTATTTTCTCTCCTTCTCAAAATAAAATAAAATAAAATAAAAAACTTCTTGAAATTTCATTGGAGAAAAATATGATTTTAAATTACTTCATGTAATTTACTATAATTTCAAATAATCTCCATTGTGACATTGTAGGTCAATTCCATATTATGTCATCAGAATTTCTCCCTCAAATTGAGTTTCATTGTAAATTTGATTAGATTCATTCCCCTCCCATCATTTCCTTCTCTTGTTTTGCTAACTTAAACATCACTTAAATTGTCAAGTACCCCCTTAAATAAATTATCTTAATATCAATATATATATTATTCACCTTTATAATATGTGCAATTTCAAAATATAAGATTTTTCAATATAAGACTTAAAGATTTAGAAGGCATAATGCCTTTACAATTTGAGAAATATATCAAATAAAATTTTGATATATGTTAGCAAACACAAAAATATGCAATGCATGGGGTTTACCCTTTTTTTTTTTCATTTTTTGGGTGGAACATGAGGTTTGCTTTAATTATTCTTTTTAAATAATTATAACATAAACTTGTAGATTAAAATACAAGAAGAGAAAAATTGAACTAATTAGGATGACATTGCAAAGAAATATGGTCTAAATGGTAACTTAAGATATTTATCCATAATTAGAGCGATACTTTTTTGTATAAGAGGAAACATAATGATTCGAATCCCAAATTTCTATTCAAATCCTCACTAACCCTCAATCATTATGTTTTCATTTTATGCTTTAAATTTGTTGGTAGCCTTATAACATAGGACAAGACAAACGAAAATGGTTGGTTGGGTTAGAAATAATTAATATATTTTTTTTGGCATCAAAATAATTAAAATTTTTAATTTAATTTAATTTTAAATTTTAATCCTCAGAATGTTTTGTATTATTTTGATTACTGACTTTTAACCGAAAAATACTGTAAAAATCGTCATTTAATGTCACTATTTTTTAATTATTTCAATAATGTCATTAGCTATAAATTAGCAATTCACTTATCAAAATCTCCTTTGTCTTTTTTTTTTTTTTAAAAGGAAAGGGCAATAATGCCTATGCGAAGCAACGCAAGTGTGAACTCCCTAATTAATCTAATCCCTTTTGTTACTCGTGTGTAGCAACAATAAAATAAAGTAAATTGCGTGAGGATTAGCAATGTGGCATGTGATTAATTAACGCGGTTTGTTAATTGGTTTTTGCTTAAGCATATTTGTCAACCTTCTGATTCTGACAGTATCTGCCCACAGAATCGATAATCCTGACATCTTCTGAGTTGCACCCAACTTTGTCCTACTCATCATTTCTTAATAATACTTTTGGTTTAGCTAATCTCCAATGGAATTAATCGGACCCATTACCATAATTTTAAGTTAAATTTGGGCCTAAACTCTTGGCCCCAAAATAATTAAGAGGACAAGCCATACGTCTTTTTCTTTTTCTTTTTCTTTTGTTTTTTTTCCTCCAAAAATGTTAAGAGGAATAAGGGATATAATCCAAACTTTTTTTTATAATATTTTAAAATGTCATTAAATTATTTTAAAAAATACAAATGAGTTATTATTATTTTATTATATTAAATAAAGTCTTAATATTTTTATTATACATTAACTAAGTTTAATGTAAAAAAAATAAAAATATCATGTGATTATGTCATCATTTCACATCACTAATTATTATAGCATATCAGTATGTTACATTAGTACCATATGTTATAAAATAACGAGAGATGTTTTAATTAAAGATAATTTGTCAATTATAAAATATAAAAATTTATTTGACTCAAAATAATAAAAAATTTAATTGAACAAAATAAAAGAATAAAAACTTATTAAAATTTTATTAATAACTTATAAACTGTTTAAAGTATTATACTTATTTTTTTAATCTAATCAAAAAAGAAAAATTTAAGCTTAACTTCTCGACAAAAAGGTAGATAATTTTACCAATGAGCCGAACAGAGGGAACCTTTGAAAATTTCATTGGAGAATAAAAAAATAGTTATCATATAAATTAAACCCCAAAATTATTGGACGTCTAATGCAATAGGCAAAAGACCAAGTCATTTCAGTACTCGCAATACCATGCAAGCAAACGAAGGTTAAAAACAATTTGTAGAATCCCCAAAACTGGCATTTGGAAAATTTGTGAACAAGATTTGTTAAAAGAAAAAAATCGTGGGGAATGTATAATTGATGAGGTGGTTGGATTTAAATGCCCCAAGTTCCATATCCACCCATGCAATGACACACTGTCCAATTTCAACTTTTTCTTTGTTTCACATGTATTTTGTGGTCCAAATGTTTAACATTTCAAAGGGAGGAAGATAGGCCATTTTTGGCGTTTCGTTGTGAACGTGGATCATTTTGGAGCCGTCTTCCCACAGGGACATACATAAAAGCTTTAATGAAATATTGGAATTGGGTCTATACATATATATATATATATATATATATAGATATATATTTGTGGGGTCTTTACAGATATATATTGTTGGCAGGTTGCCATTTGTTCGTATTTGATTCTGTTCGAAACCCAATTCCCGGTTTCTTCAATAAAACAAACTTGTTCAAAACTTGAATTTGAAGAAGCAAACATATTCATGGTTTAATATTCTTTTTTAAAAAATTTCGTATCAAATGTGAATACGTGTGAATCTCTCTCTATCACTATACTTTTTATCTACTTGTAAGACTCTTTTGTTAAAATTCTATTGTTGTCATGTGTGTTGGTGTCACGGATTTCATATGAGGTGAGATAAATTTTATACTTATAAATATAAGGTTTTTTTTACCTAATAAGTATATATTTTAAGTTAGAAATATGAGTTTGTAATAAGTATAATTAAAGTTTACTCAATTCTTCAATGATACAAGACTCTTATGTAAGATATTAGGACCAAAGTAAACCCGAAACAAGATAGATTCCTCTCCTTTATGGATGAAGAAAGAATTAGTGTAATGTGAACGTTTCAAAATTAAGTAGAGTAAAACGTCACAAATCTTTTATATTTGTAAGAAATGTGATGTGTCTTTTAACTTATAAATAAGAGACTTTCTCAACTTGATGGCATGTCACTTGAATTGGAAATATGAATTTTAGACACATGAAAGCGGTTTGATTTATTAAATTTGAATTTTTACCATCCAATTTAATTAATTAGGTCTTATACTTGACAAATCATTTGTGCATGTATATATATATATCACATGGATTCATTTACTTTTATTTTGCATGTGTATACGGAACAGGTTTAATGAGTGTTAATTTGTAAGCCCATCTATTTAATCAATGCTTTCTTTTTTAATAATAAATCTTTACCTATATAAATTTATCATTTTAATTTATATATTTATCTTTCTTTTATCTGTTTTATTTTGTTCTAAGATAAATTTAAATAGGTATCTTTTTATACTTGAATATAGATTTTTTTTACTTCAATTTAACTTATTATTTAAAGAACGTTTTTTCCCTAATATTGACATTATTATTTTTTATTGAAATTAACTAATTAAAATTTTTTTCATCCTCCATTTCATTATTTTCATTATTTTTTATAAGATATTATATGCATTTTAATCAAGTCGAGGCAAGGTAATTATATAACAAAAAAAAATTTAAGATGTTAATTTTTTTCCCTAATAAATAAGGAGAGTTGTTGTGGCTCTTAAATTGGCATTTGTGACGTTTTCATAATTAAGAGAACTCTTTTTTTTTTTTAATAGAGATCAGAATTAAATTAAAAAAAAAAAGAAAAAAGGAATGAGGGAAGTGAGAACGGGATGTGTCACTAACTCTTATTGATTGTACACTGTGTTGAGTAAATTAAATTCATGCATGCATGCCAATTAATTACTTCACATGAAGTAATAAGTTTCAAGGTTTTCTTTGTGGTGTCCAGAGAAATAATTTCAGGATGACATTTCAAGTGATAATAAGTTGCATGCACCATGACTTAAATGAATGACAGGTCAAACATAAAAGCTTTGCTTGATAGGATGGAAATGTATGTATGCATGTATGTGTATTAATTAAATTAAATTAAAGATACATACTAATGTCTTAAAAAAAACATATTAATGACAAATTTGCTTTGTCACATAAAAAGGACATGAAATTTGAGAAAAGCATAAATATATACAATACCTTAAGCATTAACATACCCTTAATTAAATTATATTATACAAGTCCACACAAACCACTCAACTGATCACAACATAATTAACAATACAAGCAACAACCTATGTAAATTACTTCAACCATTTTGATGGGAACTCTCATGATCATGATGGACTGACTCATCTATATGTAGTTTAGGTTACTGAAGTTGGTGATAAGATCATGCACATATTGTCTCCCAATACCAATTCGAACTAGGAACCCGCCAGGTTCTTCAAGGTCCAACATTAGAAAAGCGGTATCCGGGACAGGAGTTGCTAAGATGGCTGCATTGGAAACCTTTCCCCATCCGAAATCAAGAGCATGGAAAGGAAACCTCGACCAATCAGACACAATGGTTAGTTCTCGCATGGAGGGGAAAAACTTATCCGAGGCCTCGAGAGCCCTTGCATACAATTTGATATATTCATTGGTAATCTCATCTTTTGCTGCTTGGATTTTTCGGATTGTGTCGTGCAGAGGTTCTTCTAGCAGCTGTTTCACCGAACATGACACCGAGGCAAGAACAAAGGCATTACCTGTGAAGTTTTCACCAAGTGGGGGTCGAAGCCTGCTCCGAGCATCAACTGGGAATTGCAAACAGATGTTTGTGTTTGCCTCTAAACTCAGAGTCTTCACTCTTGCCTGGTTATATTTAAGTGATCAATAATATCATTCTCATTACTTTAAAAAGAATTCACATATTTAAAGGAATTTACTATAACCAATGAAAAAATGTTATAGAAATTATTGTAGCCACTTAGTAGTAATTAAGTAGATTATTTTATATTTATTCAAATTAATAATAATTAAGTCATCAAGAATTATCTTTTCCACTAATTGTTATGTAACTGATTACAGTACTGATATATATAGTAATTCAATTTTCTGAACATATATTTTAATTTATATTTATTCTTTCAAGTTCTGTTGTGGGGTCATCGTCTATGTAATGATATTATAACAGATACACTATGAAGAACTGTCATGAAACTAGAATTTGAATTCTAGCAGAACAGTATAAAGTACTTTCTTTGATGCCAAGGAAATTTATTCAAGAACTAGTTGCCTTACAGAAATGTGATTTAATGCAATCGAAATGCATCATCATGCCTTCAACGGTTTTTATCTGCAGGGGCTCCACTTCATATGCAGTTGTAAAGCCTTGTCATTTATTCATCAAAATAAAGTAGTTTCATTAATTTTTATGTAGAGAAAAAGGAGTAATTAATCACCACTACTTTGATGTGAATTTGAAGAATTATGGAGAAATAATACCAAGTAGATCAGGTAATTAAACTCAAAAGACTTCGGTGGTCCAGGAATATGCAGATAAGAGTTGCTTTATTATATAATAAGTCAAGCATATAAACTTAAATGACTCACCTTCCAAACATGTGCACATAAAACATCAAACGTTGAGCACTTGGAAAGCTTGCCCTTTTCAATTGCTTGTCCTTTCCATGTCTCTACAGTTTCCTTCTTCATGCCTAGAGTAACGAGTTCTAGCCCAACTTGAGGATCAACCTGGCTGAACTTTGCCAGGGCAGTTCCCCAACATCTGTCATCTGAGGCCATGGCTTGCATAGGTATTCCATAGAGATCTTGAATAGCTGTAATATGGTCCTGTTCATATATTGAAGCAGCCGTGGGGCTTGAATTGGGAGAATAGATGGCACTTAGCAGGGCATCTCTTGAATGGTTAGGCACCATAAGTTCAGACTCATCTTTCCCGTTTGATATTTGAGCCCAAGATGCAAGAAAGTTAAATGCGCCTATGCCATCAAACAAAGCATGGCTGCTACCAAAGCCAATCGAAAACCCTCCACAAGCAAACTTTGTTATCTGCACAAGGGGGTGCCAACTAGTTATAATAAATTGGGGATTCAACGGAAACATAGAACAACTAGAGATATAATATAAGAAATGCAGTGAAGTGTACGACTAAGTAATACTTGGCACTTACATATGGATACAAGCTTATTCGAAATAATTGTGCCAGGCATCTTATTTGAAAGTAAAGGGGATGTCATAGTCTCATATTTCATTTAGATAGTTTTTTGTTTTCCCAAAATAACAGCCCAATTTTCTGATCCATCAATGTAAAGTAACAATTAAGCAGTTGCAATACTAATGGTTATGAGCAATCAAATTAGTCTTTGCAATGATGATATCTGAAATATTAGCCAATTAGCACTAGGTTTCATTTAGATTTTCACCCTAGATAGGTCAACAGTCTGTTGAAAATATGCAGGGTGCACCCATTCCAAAAAGAGGGAGCATAGTAAGTACTTGATTTATCTAGCTAATCTCTCAAGTTGTTTGTGATAAGGCGACAGATGAAAACCAGAAACGGATTTAGGCTTGAAGGACGATAAAAGCTAAGCAAAATGCTCTACCAAGAGAACAAGCAAGTTTATACTTAGGGTTAGGGTTTCCCACTATTCTCAAGTAGAACTTAAACCAACTCTCCATAAATAAAAACTAAAAGAAGTGGACGTCAGAGCAAGGGACAATTTATCTAGAGAAAGGTGTCTGTGAATGTGAACATCATGATGACTTCATAGTCTCCTGACTTGGATTAAACCTGCAGAATAATCATTCATGGTAGTCAAATTAAACTCATTAGATAAGTGCTAACTTTCACCTTAGTTTGAAGCATATGTATTAAGCTCAATTCAAGGTTATCTATCCTCAACAGATTGTTTCTAAGAAGAGGGAAAAACTATTTTCTTTCTTCTTTCATGCATGAGCAGAAGCTATAATTAAAACATTATGGTCACCAAATTACACCATACTGTGATCGTTTGCATCTTTGTGATAAAAAAAAAAAACTGTGAAGAGAACATCATTTCAGTTTGTTCCATATCTCAGGTAATCAATTTGACTACCTATAGCAGAAAGGTAAGTGACAAAATAAAGGAGAAAAAAATTAAAATAAAAAACCTAGAGTACTTCAATTCTCTCTCATGGACAAAATCCAAACCTGAACAACTGCAATTGGATTTTGTGAAATATCAGTGGCTTCAGGGCACTTAGGAACCAGGTTTTCATAGCAACTCTTGTATTCATGCAGCCTTCCAAGCTCCTCAAGCTTGGAATCAGTCACAGCAGTTATCAGGATGACTCCTTCGTTGTTGCAGTCAATTTCTAGCTTCCCCGAGGCTTCGCTGATTCTAAACCTCCCTGCAGCTGGATACCAAGGAATCAGCACTTTCTGAAGAGCTGTTTTGGCTCTCTCAACAGGACCTTCATCCTGCGTAAATGATTCATTAATCAACTGAGAATTATAAAAGAAGACAGTGTAGAGAATGGAAGGAGATATCCTGTCCAAACCAGAGAGTTCAATAGTCTGTCTTTTAAACTGTTTGAAAGGTTTGAGAATTATATTCTCCTTAATGCATAGCTTTAGCTCCATTACTTAATATAGGATAATGATTAAGAATTCTAACAGGAGTTGCAGAGATTATGAAAGCTGTCTCAAGTTCGTACAAAGTGAGGAAAAACCCTAGGTTTATATAATTGCGAAACGACGGGATGCTGCAGTGCCAGGGGGTCATCCTGAAAGAAAGCCTTTAATATACGGGTAAGGACAACTGTTTTCCTATCACTGTCTCTAGTGGGATGAGCAAAGGTGCCATATTCGAAAAGCTCTGGGAAGTATATTATATACAATCTAGTACCAAATTGCTACCTAAAAGTACATTGCCAAGAGACCAATATCATACGCTAAGTAGCCATAAAAAGTTCTTATGGATTATGATTAGGCAAGCCAGTCGAAAATGATGAGACTTTGTATTTTTAAATGGGGTGACTTGTTTTTATTCTCAGGCATAAGAATTTTGTCACTTTCCCTTTTGCAATGCTTGCCGGTAATCTTGTCTGATGATTGGAGAGATAAATAATGATAAGACCAACGCATGTAATTGCTTTGGTGGCTTTTAGAGCTATTCCTGTTATCATCTTCCATTAAACATACTCACTTTTCCCACCAATACATGCGATTCTTCCAGCTAACCCTCGTTACCGCATCATTTTCTACTAAAATTGAGATACAGCATAGAACCTATTTAACCTACTCATAATGGTGGGGAGGGCTATAAAGATAAACCTATCTAGGAGTAATACTTTAACCTATAATATACCAGTGTTAGGGCAAACAATTAAACTGAGTAAATCGAATCATTAGTCCATGACTTTTTTCTTTTTTTTTTCATTTGTGATATTTTGAATTTGTATTAAATCCTTCAATATGGATTGGACTGCCACATGTACATTCACTTATGTTTCATGTGACAAATTTTGTCAATATTCTAATAGTGTGTTAACAAACAGATGGATTTACTGAAACAAATTTAAAAATCACGGTTAAGGCTTTAGGTAATTCTAAAGTAAATCCCATAATTAATTTGTAACTTTAAGTTTCATTTTCAGCCATAACTTAAAAAATTAAAATTTTTCATCCATGACCTTTTGATTTTATTCTAAATTTATCCATCTATCAATGTACCATTCAAATATAAATGAAATTTGTGATATGTCCACCAAATTGCCACATGGCAATTTTTTTTATATATTCCATATTTAATATCATGGTGGAAATTCAAAATATAAAAGAAATAGTCAAGAACTAATGATGCAATTTATTTAGTAAACCCTATATGATAAGTAGTGTAACCTTTTCAGCAGTGTGTATATATAAGAAAATAAAATAATTTGTTTTTAAACTGATCATGCTCATAATCCTTAAGTCTTTAATTGCGCCGATCATACTTAGATTCAACAGGGTGCCTAAGTACGGACGTAGGATCACAACAATATTGGAAGGCCGGTTAACAAAATCAAATTAAGCCCTTGCAGAATTACTCCGATCATTCGTCAACCTAGCAATTTACTTGCAATTTAATCACAACTTCTCTTTTAGGTATGCCCGATCCTATAGTGGACCATATCAATGGCTTCAAGCATAAGAACGACAGTTGTACATATATTATTATAGAAGGTATCTGCCCCCCATTGCTGACAAACTTTGCAGAAAACATGCATCTGGTCTTTATCTATTTCATGTCCTTGTGCTGTTTCAGCTTTAGCAAAGCAATTCTTTTTTATTTTTTATTTTTTGTTTGAACCTAGCAAAGCAATTGTTACTACATTTTTTTCCCTTCAACTAATTATATATGGTAATGGTGGTGGGATCTTCTCTTTTTCAGGGACTGACCTCTATTATTTGTGCAATTCTTTGCCAAACTAAGGCAAACTTACAAATAAAATACTGTACAATTGTGACATTCGACGGAAAGGTGCATGGCTGTGGATCCTAGCTGCCACCTAAATGTAGTCACTAGTCAATTAGTTTGGAAATTAATGCCTTGAATTGATTGATTAAGTTTGAATAGCTAAAACAAAGGAGAAACTAAAAGGAAAAGGATCCGCTCTTTAATTAGTATTTGGTTTTTGTTTTTGTTTTTTTGCTGCCTCCAGTGCCTCATGAATCTGTTAAATTGTATGGGCTAAGGCAAATTTAATCATATATATTCCAGGAGTTTTTTTCTTTGAAAACATACGATTTCTTTTGATAAAACTGCTTACATACAACCAGGGAGCCAGAACAGAGTCAATAGAACAACCAAGACATCAAAATCTGCCAGCAATACATCACTTTTGGCCACTATCAGCCCACACAAACACTTAATCATGCTCACATCTATCCAGAAGCGGGGACCATTGTTTGGTCCCTTGGGAATACTTAATTCAAATGTAGCAGAGGTGATTGCCATTAAAACAGCCCTTCAAATGTTCAATAATTCCCTCTGGAAGGGCATGATTCCGTTAGTGATAGGATCAGACTCTTTTGTTGCGGTATGATGAAGCTTATAAGAAATAAAGGTTTTCAATGAAGTGAAGAAAATTTAAGAAAAATGCTTCAGAGAGCAGCAACATGAAAGACAAAATAGTTACTTCATTCATTATTTGTTCAGGGAGAAATTCTCGAGCCCCATTTGACAAAACGGTTTGAATGGCCAGACCTGGAGGTAATGCAAAGGTTCCAAGAGCAACAATAATGTGTATCTTACAACTTGATGCTGTTGTATGGCACATGATGCAACTTTTCTCTGAGTAGTATCTTCAATTGTTTGATTTCAAAACAAAATTATTCGGAAAAACAACCACTACTTTTGTTATCAAAACTCTCTTTGGGGGCTTTCACCGAAATTTCCATTATAAACGACTTGATACGACTTTCAATGCTAAATATATTTGTGCCGAAGGAAAATTTTATTAGTTTTATTTCATTCCAAAGCCCCTTCACAATTAACCAATCAAACCACTATTATATTAGAAGAAATTGTGAGGAATGACCTTTCTTGATAAAAACATTTCAAAAATAACCATCAAAATAAATTTAACTATTTTTAATCATATTTAGTCATAACTTGATAAAAATACCTTTCACACTATTTCAAATAAATTAAACCATTCATCACAATTTTTTTCCATTTGTGTTTCTAATTTCTCTCTCTCAACATCCCACTCTCTCTAATTTTATCGATTTCTTTCTTCGGCATTCATCTACTATGCTCTTGATTTCTCTCTCTCATGCTTTCATATTTCTCTTTCCGGCACTTTGAAGACACAAAAGATGGTTTTGATGTGCTTGAGTTGATGGCTATTTGGAGAATTTGATTTTTAAGTATTTTAGATAAAACTGAACAATAGAAATGATTATAGATATTTGAAATAGCTTTTAATTGAATCAATTCGAGATATAGACACCAATAAACTAAAAATTTTAAAATTTATAAACTTAGGTTTTCAATGAAATTTTTTTTTTCAATTTTTAGTCAAAATAGGTGTTTTAAATAAGAAAATTTGTGTTTTGATTTATGAAAACATGTTAGAAACACTTTAATTGGTGCCAAATTATAAAAAAAAAAAAAAGAAATAAAGAGAGTTGAGAGGATTTGAAGTTTTGGTTTATAAGTAACAAGACATTAAAGTGTACCAAATTGTTTTTGAATATGATGTGTAATAATAATATTTTTTCAACATGACGTGTAATAGTAGTATTTTTTTTTAACATGGCGTGTAATAATCTTTTTTAACTATGGCATGTAACAAAATATTTTTTTTTAACATGACATGTAACAACCTAACTATAGCGTGTAACATATTTTTATATATGGTGTATAACAACCTAACTATGACGTGTCAAATATTTTTGTAAATGGCGTGTAATAACCTAACCATAGCATGTAACATATTTCTGTACATGTGTAACATCATGGCGGTAATTTCATTAAGGGTAATTTTATTTAACTTGATTAAAAATAATTAAAATTATAAAAAAAAACTATTTTTAAAAATATCTTATTTTTGAGAGTTATTTTTTAAAATGCCCTATTATATTATATCTTTTTTGGGCTCAACACATATTAATACTAAGCAACTACGATGGAAAATAAAGGATGACGAGTAATTCAAGGTGATTTGAGGTGCTTGGTATGATGGATTGACAAATTGATTTAAGCTGAAGTGATATAACGCAAAATTATTGGTATGATGGGTTGACAAATTGATTGTGGGAGAGGTTTTAGGTGTTTGATTGGAAATAAATAAATTAAGAGGTGATTTTTAAAAGAGTATATAGAAATGAGCTAATATATAACGTGGAGTTCTCGTATTCGAATATTTAACTCATTAATTATTATATGATATTCTTACTTAAAGAGTAGAGTTCGAATCTCTCTTCTTCCAATTCAAAATAATAATAATAATAATGGTAGAGTTCTCGCAAAGGCCAAAGGAATTTGTATTCAAATTAGATCTAAAATTTAATATTTCTTTTGAAAGGCAATCACAAAGATAAAATTTAATATTTATATTTTACTCTACTTAGATTAATAATACTCTATAAAACCCAAATCTATTTATTTAGTTATAAATGATGTGAGCACCCATTACAAAACTCAATTTGACTTGAATGTGATAGTAAAAAATAATATTTAATTATTTAATTTTATGTATCTTATTACTCTAAATTAAATTAATAAATTCAAAGTAAATTTTATATTTAAATAATTTATAAATTAAGTAAAAATAATTTACAAATTATAAGTAAGTCCTACAGTAAAAAATAATATTAAAAAATTCATTATTTATAATCAAATTCGAATAATAGATTTCTAAAATTACTATTTATAGCTTACCCAAATGCGTTTATAAAGTACTTTACTCTTGTTTAAACTGAGGCTACTAGTGTCTGAAACTGGTTTATATACTACCTACTGTCATCCCCAATCTAAGAACCAAAAACAACAAAGACCCTGCAAGTCTTCAAACTTTCCTGTCAATAACCATTCGTTCATCACATTTAGCAAAATTTCTTGCTCAATAGTTCTTGTTTTTTTCTCTCTCTCT